AGGGAGGGCTAGGAATGGGGAAAAAATAAGAACCAAGATGCATTATGTAAAGGTACAACTCCCAATGAGAAATGTAATTGTGTTGTATACCTACAGTGTACCAATAAAAGAATTTAATAGAGAAAAAAATAAAAAAGAAGTAGGACTCAATGTGTGCCGTGAAGAGGAAGAAGGATATGGAGAGAAATGGGAAAGACATTAATGATACAAAAATGTTTGCTCCATCCTATCCTGGATGGGTTGTTCCTATGAGAGTATGGTTGACAGTGAGAATTGGAGATATGTTCTGGGTGAGTAGAGAGCTCTAGGGTCCTTCTCCCCAACCTAGATAGCAGTTATCTAGAGGGCTTCTCTATTTCTTTTCTGCTCCTTGTCTCTGCTGGCACCTGTGTAAATGGTATCACCAGTTTCTGGCTTTGAAGACTTCTGTCACTGTGGAACAAACTTCTCTGTTCTCTCAGTTGCTGTCTTATGTCAGTCTCACCATTGTTTTCCAGTTATGCAAACAGAACTTGGCTTTTTCTCTGAATAATATTTGTCATTTCCCATATGAGGCTACCAGCTGAGTCCAGGAGACCTTACTTTTGTAAAGTATTCCTCCCATCCCTATAATCTCAGATAGCATCTAGTTGAGTTTCTCCCTGTTTCTTGTCTGATTTCCTTGTTTTCAGTCTCTTAATCATTCTCGGTCATCTTCCATTTGGTTGCTACACTCAGCATCCTTAAGCAGAATTTTTATCTTGTTGCTTAAGTGATTGAAACCTTTGAGTAGAACTGTTTCCTCCCTTGTTGCCTGAATTCCATGGTCTGAATTTCAGTGAGACAATTGGATCTTTCCCACCACTGCTCCCCACACACCACTGCCATAGTTGCACCATTTGTGGCTGTGAACTGGGCATGCTTATACCTGCTCATGCCCCCCTTTTGCATTCCAAGACTTCTCTTGTTCCCTTGGTCACATCCTCCACTGTTCAGTGCTTACATCAGATCTAGCTACCTTCATGGACCCTGTTGCTTATTCTACTTCTTTTTTTTTTTCCGTACTGGGGATCAAACTTGGGACCTTGCGCTTGTGAGGCAGGCGGCGGAACCACTGAGCTAAATCCCCGGCTTGGTTATTCTACTTCTGAAGCATAATTCTTTCCCAAACTTCTGTGCTCATTCTATCCGATTCTACTACACAGCATGGAATTCTGTACTTTCATGATTATACTCTTTTTGATCATACTTATACTGTATTTGATACATGCAAATGTTGTCTCCCCAGTCTAGGTAGAAGCCTCTTTTCTGACTACAGTAACCGTCAAAATGCTGCCTGCATAGAGACAGCTGTGAAATAGATTAGCTGGTTAGTTTTTTTTTCCCTTGGTAGTATAGTAAGACAAATACAGAATTAGGACTCTTGGAAGTCTATTCAGTGGTCCTTCTGCTTAAGTCTCTTTTAAGACAAATTTGCCAAGTCATTTAGCTTCTAATGTTGGCTGTATTCTATCCCTCACTCAAGAGATTGCCCATTTCACTTACTAAAAAACTTAATGTTTTACATTGAGCTAAAAATCTCTCCTACTTTAACTTCTACCCACTAGGGTTTTTGTTTTGAGACAGGGTTTCGCTGTGCAGTTCAGGCTTGCCTTGAACTCCTTATGTAGCCCATGCTGCCCTGGAACTTGCGGCAATACTCCTCTGAGTTCTGGGGTTATAAGTGTGCGCCTCCATACCTGGCTACCCTCTGGTTCTAATTCAGATTTGATGGTGGAATCTTATTTCCATAAAGTAGCATTGTCTGAAGACAGCGCTTATGTTCTTTTTGATTACTTTCTTCCAGTACCTTCTGTTATTTTTTACATTACAAGGATTCAAGTACTTTTATAACCATGTGGTGGATCCCACAGATAGATTCCAAGGCTTTCAGGATCGAGAGCAAGAGAGAAGAAAAAGGACCACATGTGCTTTGGTCTGGGGTTATATAGAATGGTCCTAGGGTGGCACCCAAGCTCAAGTGAGTGGAGGAGAGTGAATTCCTCTGCCCCCAATATTCTCTCTGTACTACCTTTATCCTGGTCATTCTCATCTGGTGTAAGGCACACCACCCCAACCCCCATGCTAAGGATCAAACCCAGGACTTTGTGTATAGTAGGCAAGTGCTCTACCACTCTAGTGTATACCCCACTCCCACAAATTGAGGTAGGTTTCACAGGTAGATTATTGAGTACATGATCTGATGACATTTAAGATCTATAGAATACTACATTTTCAATAAAATGTATTTAGAGACTACATTGGATTTTTTTTTTTGGTACCGGGGATCAAACTTGGGACCTTGCGCTTGCGAGGCAGGTGGCGGAACCACTGAGCTAAATCCCTGGCCCTACATTGGTTTTTTGAGATCCTAGTTATTTGCATTAAGTCACCTAAATTTTTTGAGTCTTTTTTTGTGTGGTTACCTGTCATTCATATCCTGTCCTTGTTTGTCTGTGGATATTTGAGTATAATGCATAGAACTTTACATTTAAATCTGATTTTTCTTAATGTAAGACTTAACTCATCACTTTCAGTCTTTTATTTTAGGGGTGTGTGTGTGTGTGTGTGTGTGTGTGTGTGTGTGTGTGTGTGTGTGTGTGTGTCTGTACTTGAATGCTTGAGGCAGCGTCTCACAGTGTACCCCAGGCTGGCCTCAGACTCTCAGTGATCCTCCTGCCTCAGCCTTCCACGTGCTGGAATTACAGGCATGTACCACCATTCCCACACTGGTGCTTTCAATCTTTTAAATCCTAGCTCTTCTGATACATTATCTCTGCAGCTCAATCTTTGGGCAGCTGCAGATTTCATGAGCCTGTTCTATGTGTTCTAATCAAAGACACTGATAAAAAATGCGGAACATAGATAAATTCACAGAGCATAGCAGCAGAGAATTTCCTTCACATTCACAAGGATTTTAAAATCTTACCTACACGTTTATCATGACATACTGTCAAATACTTGTCGATTTTAGTTACCAGTTTTTCTAGTCTAGTCACTGGCCAGAAGGAAAAATGTGGTTAGCTTGGAATGATTTCACCGTACTGACTTCTTTTCTAGTAGTTTATTTGATAATACAGTGGTACCAATGCTTTTGTTTGCAAACAATTTGGTTCACAAACAGAACCATTTGGCAAGATTTTGTTTTTGTTTGCAGACTCTGCATGGGGTGACAAACAACTGGGACCATCTTTCCCACACAAACACAAATGTGGCTATCTTTTCCAAAATTGTAGAACAAATTAAGTTCATGAATCGAAATACCACTGTATCTTAGAATCTTACCTGGAATACGTCAAGTTCTCTTGGCCTGTGTGCTTTGTGATATCTGTCTCTGTTCTATTTTAGAAAACCAAGCCATGTTTTCTCATTATTGATCTGCTATTTCTTCTGTTTTCCACAAATCATTTAGAGACTTGAACCCATCATAAGTTCTCTTGGTCCTGGTAGTTCTTAGGCAGTCCTAGGAGGAGAAAAACATCTGTTGAACAGTGTTGCCTTCCATTATTAGGGGTCTTTGATTCAAACCTTAGAATGAGAGAGACGAAGAGACACTACACAGGTTTAGGATTGAGAGAAAAGTCGTGTTATGGAGATTTCGTTTTCCAAGTGGCATGCCTATGAAAGGCCAGGGGATATTAGAATCACAAGGGAAAATCCTTATATTTTAATTACAAGATGCTTTCTCGCTGAGCTTTAGTTCCTTATTATAAATGAGAATAATACTGTGACCTATCTCATGGAGTTGTTATGAAACTACACAAAATAATGTGTATAAAGTATCTAAAACAGTACCTGGTGCAAGTATAAACTGTGTAAGTTGTTCATTGAAAGTATGTAGAAATCATAAACATTTCTGATAAGGTGTGATGAATTGAATTCCAGTTTATGAAACATTTTTTCATATAGATTTTCACTTAATTACAACAGTTCTAAGAGATGTAACTATTAGTGCCTCAAGTTCTTTATAAAATGAAGATGTTTCCTCGTGACCACACAGTAAGAAAGCAACAGGTCCTAGTTTCTGGCCTCTTAACAACTACCTAGCTCTTCTGAATTTTTTACCTAGCCTGAGTTTTTTCATCTGAAAAGTGAGGATGTTTGGCTTACCTTTGAGCCTTTTATTTTTTTAAATATCTAGAATGCTTTAGCAAGTAGAATCCTAATACCTGGATGGAGCACACAAGCAGATTTGTTATTGTTGTTTTTTAAGACAGGGTCTCACTACCCAGTTCAGGCTGGCCTTGAACTCACTGTGTAACCCATGCTGGCCTTGAACTTGCGATGATTCCCCTGCCTCAGCCTCCCAAGTGCTGGGATTACAGGTGTGTGCCACACAAACAGATTTTTAAATATATCTTTCGGAGCTTCATCATTTGGAAGTGCGGTTATATTCCCTGTGTAGCAAATTAAGAGAAATTTGCTTACAGGAAGTTATCAGTCTCTATGGAGGGGATGAAGAAAGCAGGAGTGGGCAAAGGGAGGTCCTAACTGTGATACATTTGCAACAAAGTGCTCTGGGGCTCGCTTGACCCTTCAGCATTTTCTCATGCCGAGGTGAGGTGCTGAGACTATAACCTCATATCTCTCATTCTTTGGATGTGGCCTATGCCAGAAAGAAGCTGGTGTTCCTCAGTGAGTATTTCTCATTGGCTGAGGACAGTCTTGGAAAGAGACTCAGCTGAAAGCGGTGACCACCATCTCCCTACATCTGGGGGAATGTGCCTTCAGTGTTGGAGGACAGTCAGGATGTGTCATAGGTATTCATTATGAGGGGTATACCTGACTCATGAAGAAGTGTGGCTGTGGCCAATTAAATTCAGAGAGTGGAAGGTAAATGTAAGATTTTGCTTTGGGAATTAACTGTTCTCCATTCCATTCTCCATAGTATTATGCAGTTGCTTGGTGCATTTCCTTCACCCAGTGGTCCTGCCTCTCCTTGTAGTCTGGTGAATGAGACCACTCTTATCAAATACTCCAGGCTGCCAACCATAAACAAGCATAGTTTTCGATACTTTGTCTTGGACAACAGTGTCATCCTGGCCATGCTGGAGCAACCCCTTGGAAATGAACAGAGTAAGTTATAACTCTTCAAGTCTTCTCTGAGTTTAAATTAGTGCATTCATCAATACTGTCAGAGAAGGACAGACTAAATTCTAAGTTATGTATTTATCTTGAAGGATTTAGAGTTGTGGAGCAATAACACTTAAGAAATAGAAGGTCAATAAATAGGAAATATATAGTAAATAGAATTGTTTGAAGACTCTGTAAGTATCTAAAATATTACACTATGGCTCTATAGTTTTATAAAAAGTCTAAGTGGGATATTTTATGTTGACTGTGTATAAAAATTTTTGTCACTCTTTCTTCCCTTGTGAACTTTGGATCCTGTCCCTCTACTCCCTTGCCCATCACCCCTCATTGTTCTGTTTCAGTTATTGCCACCCACAGACTAGAAGTCTGAGAAGTCATCTTTGCTTACTTCTCCTGTTACTTCCATATGTAATTAGTTTCCAAGTTTCTACCTCCACAGAGACTCTTGACACTTTCTGTATTCTTCCCAGAACATCCAAATGCAGGAACGTATTATTTCTTACCTAGATTATTGCAGTTCCTTCCTACCTGGTCTGATTCTGCCCTTGCCGCTTCAAAATTTGTTTGCCCTTACTTCTGCCCTGCTTGCTGCCACCATAGTACTCATCCTCAAATACAAATTGACCCACTGAAAACTCTTCACTGATTTTTCCACTGACACAACAAGTACTGTTTTCCTCCTTTCCCTACCCTGGTTTACAAACCAGTTCAAGGTATGTGATTACTACTGCAACCCAAACTATTGCAAGTTTTTCCTGATGATATTGGCGTCTGCCAGTTTGTAAAGAGAGAGCTTATTACTGGGAAGGTGAAGGAACATGAAGGCTACAGAATCTGTGGCCCTAAAAGGACTCAGAGAATCACCTTCTGTGCAGTTTCCTCATTTATAAGTGAAGAAACTCAGAGAAGCTCTGACTTGTCCAGGATAACTTGAAAAGTACATGATATGGCTAGGACTTGAACCTAGATTTTCTAAATAAAAACTCTCCCTTTCTGGTTTTGTTGTCACACAGTGATAGGATTTGCTCAGTGATTAAAGACCCTTGCCTTTGCAAAGGTGAACAGGGTCTTAGAGTCTCATGCAAATGTTGTTGAGTGTGAGTAGGATCTCAGAAATCCATCAAATGAAAGTGAGATATTGTGTCATAGTTTGGGATAAAAGAATACAATCCCATATTTCCATCATATTGTGGTGAGATTTAGTGACTTTAGAATGAAATAGAATGGGGCCATTTTACTGTTAATCTCAGAAGTGCTGGTCCCTAGTCTTTTCTGTAGGCATCTCTTTCTTTTGTACTCCAGACCTAGGACTCACTTGACCTTCTCTGGCCTGTGCTTACTGTTTGTGATTCCATCTTCTGAGGAATCTGTAAAATCTTAGTGTCCCCTTCAGGCTTCCTGGGCTTTTTCCAGTTTTTTAGGACTCTCCTGCTCTCATTCCAAGTAATTTCATTGCATAGAAAGTCTACCAATAATATAAATAATTGAAATTTGTACATTTCTAACGACACTTTAATAATTTATTGTAATGGTTAATAAAGGAAGAACTGAGAGAGAAATTTGAACAAGGTTGACTCCCACACCTGAGATAAAAGGCGAATAAAAAGGACCTGGTTCCTTAAGTCCATCTTGAGCCCTTCTACATCCCTTCGTGCTGGACTTCTGCTAGGAGGAAACAGGGCCTGGCTAGGGGGTTAGTGTCACACAAAGCTGTTGGCCAATTGTAACATCACACTGCATTTAGATTGTTCCCAACTTTGAGATGTTAGAAGTGTTTGATAGGACAGCATTTCCCAAAAATGGATGTGACCTACTGGAGTTATGTGAGATGATGTTAGCTGAAATATTGGTGAATGTTATTTTATGACTTTTTAAACACCTACTCTAAAAATGCATAATTAACAGATGAAAATTACTGGTTTCCCATGTAGAGGTTCATTATTTAATTTTTAAATAAATTTAAGTTAATAATAATGAGTGGTTGACATGAACTAAGACAGTAACACTCACAGTACTATACTTGGATATGACAGAAACCACAAAGTGGTACATAAAGGCTTGAAGTATAGGAAACACTGGGCTTAGGGCTTTGATTATATGAAGCTCTGCTATTGATAACAGGTGTATTATAAATGGTGATTGTCTGAAATAAAAACTTTTACACATTTTATTCTAGATGATTTCTTCCCCTCTGTCACTGTGCTCGTCCGGGGAATGTCTGGAAGACTTGCTTGGGCACAACAACTTTGCCTTTTACCCAGGGGAGCAAAAGCAAATCAGAAGGTATCCATCAGAAGTTACAGGGAAGTGATGAGTGTGTGCATGTGTGTTTGTGTAGGTGGGTGAATTAAAGGTTGTATAACGTTCAAAGTGGTGGCACAAGCCTGCAGTCCCAGCACTCAGGAAGCTGAGGTAGGATCACCATGAGTTTAAGGGCAGTATGAACTATATACATAGCAAGACCCTGTCTCAAAAAAACCCAAAAGAAAAAAAAAGGTTACATAACATTCCAATAAAAAACCACAGACCTGGCCAGGTCCTCCTCAATCACATCAGAATCAATTTTGGAACCTAAAATTCTATGTCTACTGAATTACTGTTTAAAGGCATCTTGTATACTATGTTTTTTTTTTTGGTACTGGGGATCAAACTTGGGACCTTGCACTTGCAAGGCAGGCGCCAGAACCACTGAGCTAAATCCCTGGCCCTCGAGGCGTCTTATAGACAGGTGAGTTTTCCAGAAGTTTTCCAGGTGATTCTGACATTCACTTAGGAATAAGGACTATTATTCTGAACAGTGGCCCAGGGTTTTCAGTGTAATTTTAAGTGTAATAAAAGTCACATACATACCATATGTGGAAAAATTTTGCCCAGGCTTTTTGATGTTTTTAGCAATAGGTCTTAGTTTCAGATTGTTTTATATCATTTATTCCTCTGTAATTGTCAGTATACTGTATACTTTTTAATATAGTGTGTTAAATTTTTTATGTTACATTTGTAATTATATGATATTATTTGCTTGTGTGAGAAAGTTAGAAAATTCAGACAATAGAGAAATTTTAAATCGCCTCTACTCTCCAGAGGGAGATAGCCACAGTTAATATTTTAGTGGGTTTCTTTCCAATATTTTTTCTTTTTATGCATAATAACATTTAAATAGGATTTGAGTCATTTGCCATACTGCTTTTTTTCAGTTATTACATTGTAAGCTTGTTATTTGTTACTAAAATTATTTTAAAATATGACTTCATAAAATTTCAGTAGCATTTAAGAGACAGCTACAAAAGTGGAATATGAGCCTTTTTGTGTGTGTGTGGTACTGGAGATTGAACCCAGGGTCTTTGCTCTGAGCTACATCGGTAATCTTTTTTTATTTTGGTACATCGAACTATCGAACTCGGGTCCTTGAGCCTGCGCATCAGGCCAGGTGGCGAAACCACTGAGCTAAATCCCTGACACTAATCTTTGTTTGTTTATTGTTTGAGTCAGGATCTCGCTATATAGTTCAGGATGGTCTTGAACTCACTGTGTAGCCCAGGCTGGCCTCAAACTTAATGCTGTCCTCCTGCCTTGTTACTTTTTGAGTCAGGATCTCATTAAGTTATTAATTTGTCCAGGCTAGCTAGACTCAAACTTGTTATCTTCCTGTTTCACACAGGCATATACTACCATACCTGGCTCAGAAGTCTTTTAGTATCATACATAATATCTCTGTCATATGAGCTGTGCCTTTTACCCCTTGAGGAGTACACCCTGATTTTCTTCTGATGGCACGATACATATCACATTTTATTAACAGCTCTGTAAGTTTCTAAGTTAGTGTTGACTACTCAAAGGGAAAGGAAAAGAACTGAAACTTACTTGATGTAGGTACTATATACATATTAAAGCAGGGTTTTGGAGACATGAGGATCTAGTTTTGGTGTCCATACTCTTAGTTAAGCCACCTAAGGTTCCAAAATTGAATTCACTTTCTAGGACTAACCAGGGAACCTGAACTTGTGCTATAACATATGGAATGATTTGAGAGTTGTTAGAGAAATGGAAGTTAGCGTCTTAAAGTCCTTAAGTGCCTCATCCATTAGCTTAGCACTGAATGTGGGAAATTCAGACCAGGAACAGTAGCAGTCCTCAACTCATTCATCAGTCATGAAATCTATAATAAGTTGATGGATATTTTTAAGAAAATAAAATTGAGCATACAAGTATATAGACTTCCTGCCTTTACCATGAGCTGTAGCATTTGTAGATTCTTACTGAGTTTTTATGTCATATAATCTTAGGGAAACACAGGAATGAAAGCAGACTAGAGAAATACATATCATTACACATGGGTATTGAACCTTATGTAATAAATACAATGTTATTTGTATTATTTTAACAGCTTTTTGTGCCTGAACCTCGTCCAGTTCCTAAAAATGATGTGGGATTTAAATATACTGTGAAACATCGACCATTTCCTGAAGAAGTGGACAAGATTCCTTTTGTAAAAGCAGATCTGAGCATTCCAGATTTGCACGAAATTGTCACTGAAGAAGTAAGATAAATTGTTTTTAGCTGTTGTTAAGGAAGATGAATACAAACATTCTTAAATGATGTCTGTGGTCAAGGCATTGCCTTAAATGTATGGAAGGTAACTTGCAGCAAATTGAGTGTAGACTGGGATTGACTGATAGAAACTGGACATCTCTGAGAGACAAGGCCACTGGCTGCCTGGGTCATTCCACGGTAGATTTCAGTAGTGTAGTGACATAATCAGACTCTGGTAGTGAAGGATATTTAGAAGGGAAACAAATTTAGAGAATATCTGATAATCCAAGTGGGAGAAAGGAAAATTACATCACCAAAAATGAAGTTTAATATATATAGTGTATCGTAGAGGTAGATCCAGATAGTCTTAGGTTGATAAGGGAAGGAAAAGAGCCAAGGAATTTTAGATTTTGATCTTGAATTACAAAGAGATGTTGTGGCCATTTACAAAAGTATGGATATTAGGAAGGAGACAGGTTTGGGAAGATGGGAAAAGTTTATTTGGTTTTAGATTAATTTAGATATTTAGATGAAATAACTGATCTCTTATGTCAAGGGAGAAGAACTTTAAGAAGTGCCAGACCAAGGTATGTCAGATAATAAGAGAATAGGGAAGGAATGGAGGACAACACTCTCGTATGCTGGAGAGATCTGGGAGAAGGAGGCATAAGAAGAGGGCCTGAATTTGGAGTTGAATTGTACCTGACCTTTGAGAGCAGGTTCAAAGGAGTGTAAAGTGAGAGACTGACAATAAATGGTTGAGGAATGATTTATGTGAGAGAGAGAGATATGTGAGTATGAAGTACCCTACTAGTACTAATGAGGAAGATTTAGAATGGAGAATAGTATTAGGAAGTAGCCTAGCTGAGGAAAGGCAAGGTTAGTTTTTTTCTTTTCTTTTTTTACATTCAAGGATGGAAGAAATATTAAATGCTTATAGGTTGAATGGAAGGATCTAATGGAGAGAGGTCTGCTAATACTAAGGGAATTATAAGTAATAAAAGCAGCAGAGTCAAGAGTCTAGGTGATTTTATCTAGAAAGGGGGTATTTCTGATAAGACAGGAGAGGATGAGAGAGTAGGTAAAAGTTCAGAGATATTTAAAGTGGAAAGAAAGAAAATTGAGAAACCTTATGTAAATATTTCAGCCTCGGTTCATACAGTGTACAAGGGGATTGATGATAGTTCTTTAAATTGCCAGGCAATCCAGACAAGGTTAAGTAGCATCATGTGTGGTAAAGTTATTTAACGTACTCTGCTCACTTCAAGTCCTTGGGATCTGAGAGCATAAGTAAAGAATTAGAGCAGTGTAGAGTTTGAGAAGGTTAGGAATTTGGGAGGGTAAAGTTCAACACAGCCTTTCTTTATGCATAAGGAGAAGGCATTAAAATGTTAGATTTGGCTGGGTTAAGTTTAGTTGGGAAGCAGAAGGATGCTAGTGGCATGGAAAAATAGGAGGCAGGGTTGAATGCCTTTCAGTAACAATAAAGCACAGGCTCAGGGAGTGCTGGAAGGGGATTTAGGATTGGAGAGGAATTTCAGAATTATAGCTCTTGAAAGTAGGTTGCAGATGAAATTTAAGATGTTCTCAGGGCTAGTTGTGGTCCTGTAAGTTTATAATCTGGGAGGGAAAGCAGGGGATCACAAGTTAAAATAAAAATAAAGGGATGGGGATGTTTGTGAAGGCCTGGGTTCAATCCTCAGTAATACCCCCCCACACACACCAAAAAAAAAGTGCTCAGAGTGGTCAGAGTTGTGAAGGTTGAGGTTGTAGAATTGAGCCAAGTTGTTAGAAGGCTCATCGTTCACCAGAGAATGGAATTTCAAAGTAAGTTTGATCAGAATGGAAGGAAAGGATCTTGGAGAGTCTCCAAGAGTACAGTTGGGGAATCCAAGATAGAACTTTGCACCATGAAGAGATGCTCCGGGGTGAAAGTGGACAGGGATCTGGAAGTAGGGGAAGGAGCAACACCTCTTCCCCTTTTCTTGCTTATTTGAAGGGGAGCAAAGACAGAGTGGTATCATTTACAGCCAGGAGATGAAGAAGCAAGTATTGAGGATATGGAAGCAAGTTCACAAAAATGAGGTGTTTGGTTTATTTCAGTTAGAAGAGAGACATGAGAAATTAAGGAGCGGCATGGCCCAGCAGATTGCTTATGAAATACACCTTGAGCAGCAGAGTGAAGGTGAATTGCAGAAGAGAAGCTTTCCTGACCCCATTACAGACTGCAAGCCCCCGCCCCCTGCCCAGGAATTCCAGACAGCCCGCCTCTTTCTCTCACACTTCGGATTTTTGTCCTTAGAGGCGTTGAAGGTAATTTTCTTGAACTTTTATGAGCAAATATATTCATAAATATATTTATAAACATGCAGCTAATGTAGTTATAATATTTTTATGAGGAAAAAGTAAATAAAAAACCTGATTATAGGCTTGCCCTGCATGTAAGTAAATGAAATTTTGAGTTACTGTATGTTATAATATGAGTGGCAGGACAGTTTACCCTATAAATTCATTCAATGTTCTGTCTGAGGGGACTGTTTTTGATAATACATGCAGCCCTAAATTTTCTTGGGTAATACAGAACCATATTATACATATAAATGAAATCTACAGATAATTATAAAAGGAATATTGAAGTCTTCCCTTAATAAACTATTACTGAAAGTATGGGCTTCAGTTGACTGAGCTCTCTCATGCTACTTTAAAAAGACATGAAGTAATTTTGTAGTATTTGCAAGCCAGGCCCTTTTTATGTTGTACAGAAAGATCAGATGACTATCTAGGTCTGTGTCCTGGCATCCATCATGGCTTGCCAGCTGTGTGGTCTTGGGGTGGTTACCTGGCTTTTCCTTACCTGTATGGTGGGGATGATAAAAATATCTCTTTCTTTGGTCATGTGAACATTGAGTTAACGGATATAAGAGTCTTCTAGTAATATTTAACACAAAATAAGCCAGCTTATAAGGTAAACATGCCGTTTCTCAAGTTTAGAACTATATCCATTTTAATTTTTAGATTTAATTTTTATTGTGAGCAAGTATTGCTTTATAAATAATGAAAGACATAACAATTGCTTCTTTCTTCTTTTGGTGATAGGAACCTGCAAATAGTCGTCTACCTCCTCACCTTATTGCACTTGATTCCACGATACCTGGGTTTTTTGACGACATTGGATATCTGGATCTCTTGCCCTGTCGTCCTTTTGACACAGTTTTTATTTTCTATATGAAACCAGGTCAGAAAACAAACCAAGAGGTAAGAATTCTCAGTTTTTTGGGGGGATGACTTTTGTACAATGCTATATAAGATTTTACATAAAAGGATTTTAGTTGTCCTTCATAAGAAATACTTGATCCTGGGCTGGGGATTTAGCTCAGTGGCACCACACCTGCCTTGCAAGTGCGAGGTCCTGAGTTCGATCTCCGGTACCCAAAAAAAAAAAAAAAAAAAAACTTGATCCTTAAGTTCTTATGAACCAGTTCAGAAACTGAATGAATTAAAATTATGATGCTTAGTGTCCTGAGTCTTGACTCTTAAGGAGTGTGGTTTAGCGTAGATATGTCGTATGTCTTTATTTCCCTTAAGAAATTCATATTCATAAAGACAAATGAAAGTAAAATACAGAAGCTTCACCACAAAAAGCTAAAGCTAGGCCTGATTTCTCAAGAAGAATAGAACAATTGTGAACATTTACTAAACATCTTTCCTGTGCTATGGCCTGGCATAGTATAGAAGGGAGCAACGGGCTTCCCCTTTGCAAGTACTAATCTCACAAGCAAATTGTTTCAAGTGAGGCATGCATACTGTACAGTGGGAAAAAAACACCTGACTAAAAGATAAAAACAGATGACAGTATGTAACACAATTGGATATGTGTAACAGAAGAAACTGGAAGGATAAAGAAAAATAGAGAGGATAGAAAATTAAAGGAGATGATTTTGAAGTTTCTGTTGGAAATTAATAATTGAAACGTGGAATGGACAGTTACCAGCTGTGATTAGGAAAGGGCCAAAGAAAGGTTTGTAAAATACAGTATTCAGATGTGTTAGCTTAGGGCACTATGACTATGTTAGGGCACTATGACTAACTAGGAATAACCTAACACCATTCACTAATCAAATTAGCACACCTTTAGAAATTCACTGGCACAAAATGTTTTCATGAGAAGTACTGTTTCAGATTATGTATTGGTGAAAAAAGTTTATGAGAAAACTTTCTCATTTCATGATACTGGTTCAGTAAGTGTCTGCTACCTATTAGGTTCCAGAGTTACAATGACAAACAAGATATACAAAACTTTGAGCTTTGTAAGACTACTGTCAAGAGGGGAAAATAGACCATTAAATGAGCACTCATAGTACTAATTGTGCTAATAGGGGCATTAAAGCATATCATCAGAGCCATAACAGGAAAACCTGACCTGACTTTAAGGTTTTCTGGAAGAAAAAACATTTAAGCAGTATTTGAGGTATGCATTGACCATAAGGAAAAAGGCAGAATCAGATTGTTTTTGACAAAGTAATAATGTGTAAATTCCCCAAAGGTAAGAATATTGCATGGGAGCTTAGATAAGAGTATTGCATGGGAGCTTAGAGAAGGTAGGCTGGTGGCAAATAAAACTAAAACACAGAAGCTTCAGGGTCTCTAGCTTTTTAGACGAACCTCAGTAAAACTGGTGTAATTACAGGGGTTGGGATCTGTTTTGAAAGAAATCTAATGCATTGTTCACATGAAAATAATGGGGCCATTTTTCTCCTACCTCTAGAAGGTACAAACTCTTGGGGAAACTCCTAAGTCAGTTCCATTTCCTTAGGTTTCTAGGGACTGAAGTTGATAAGGAAACTATGGAGATTCCTGGAGGCTTCCTTGGGAACGGCTGAGACTTTGCCTCCCTAGCCACAGGGGATTAATTTCTAGCAGCCAGCAAGTGCCCTGCAAGTTGGATTTAACTCATTTATTGCTTTTTGACTAAATTTTCAGAAACTATTTAAGAGTTTATCTTCTAAATTAAAAAATTGATTGCAAACCTGGAACTGGCTGTCAAATCAGTTTCTTGACACTTTGTAGTCTCATGTGATAGTATATAGATGAACCAAACAAGTATGCTTCTAAGGAGACTGGTTCTGTGTTAAAGAGATAAACTCAGCAGTGATGCCCAGTAGATGGAGAAGTAATCTGTGTAACTTCTCATATTTTTACTTTCACAGGCCTCCGTGTGGTCTTGGACATAGATTAGTATTATACAGATGTCCTGTGGACTGGATACATCACAGTCTGTCAAGGGGGGAAGGCGTAAAAATAATTCCAGGGTCTTGGTTTTTGCTGATTTTGATGTAGATTTGGGAGAACCCAAAGGAATCTTATCGTTAGAAAATTCCCCAGATGATTTTGATACTCTCTGATCCCTACCTCCCTCTTCATTTTTTAAGAGAGGAATTTTTTATTTTCCTTTAATAAGATGGCAGCAGTCTTGCCATCTTGGGCCAGATGATTCTTTGTTGTGGGTGCTGTCTTGGGAAATTTAGAACATTTACCAGCATCTTTGGCCTCTACTATTAGATACCAGCATTGTCCCACCAGTTGTGATAACCAAAAATGTCTCCATACATTGCCAAAAGATCCCTTCGAGGGCAAAATCATGCCCAGATGAGAGCCACTGTATCAGAATGAGAAACTCTCCTTTCTAAAGCCAGAAGAAAGCCCAGGCATTATGCTTGGTAACTTAGTGAAGAGGAGAGAACCTTCTAATCATTTTACTTTTCCTGGAGTGGTACATTCCTGTGGACTCTTTATATTTCTAGTAAGTTTGTACTTTTATAGCATTTGCCAAGACTTGTAATTAAATAATCACACACCTGGGTAATATTTCTCATTAGCCAGGCTTTTAACTCTTTGAAGGCATGGACATTGTGTCTTTTTAAAATTTTTTGTAAATGTGTCTAGCTCAGTAATTTTTTTTTAACAGGAAGGAAGTTCAGGGCTTTACTTACATTATCGCATTTAATCTTCACAACCATCATTAACCCTACCATACCAATGAAGAAACTGAGACAGGTTAAGAAACATTCCCAAGGCCGTGCCAGTCCAAGTCTAATTCCAGAGCATGCATTTTTTACTACAGTAATAAATTTTCAAATTTATTCTGAACCTGTGACTTGATTTGTAAGCTGAGTTTTAAGAAGATTTATTTGCATATGTTCTTGTGTTTCTTTCATGATAGCTGATGCTTGGTATGTATTCCAGATTTTGAAGAATGTGGAGTCTTCCAGAAGTGTTCAGCCACATTTTGTAGAATTTTTGCTCTCCCTCGGCTGGTCAGTGGATGTGGGCAGACACCCTGGTTGGACTGGCCATGTTTCTACCAGTTGGTCAATTAATAGTTGCAATGATGGGGAAGGGTCTGAACAAGGTAAAATTCATAATGACTGTTTGTTTTTTGTTGCACTTGATTTTTCTCCCGTTACTATGAATTTATATTCTTATTTTAAAAAGCAAACAAAGATATTATAAAGAAAAAACTTCTCATTCCTAGTCCTCACAGGGGTGGGTCCACTTAATAGTTTGTGTATTCTTCTAAACATCCTCCCCTTTATCTCTCTATATGATATATATAAAATTGTAGACTAAGGTAAATTAATATATAATTAATGATTATACAATGCTGATAAATCCCTTTTTATAATGTGACTAAACAGATTGTTTTCTATAAAAATACTGTAATAAGTCTAGATTATCTATAGCAAGCATTACAGTTTCCTAACAAGTGAGTTTTGTCTAATAAATATGTATTCTATTAACAAGTGTGTGTGTGTGTGTGTGTATATATATATATATATATATATATATTTTTTTTTTTTTTGTACCAGAGATTGAACTCAGGTCCTTGTGCTTGCACAGCAGGCAGCAGAACCACTGAGCTAAATCCCCGGCCCCATTAACAAGTATATTTTATAGACTTTGTGGCTATCAAAAAGTCAGTTAAAGGTAACATTCTTGGGACATTATATCAAAAACTTTGCAGTGAAGAGCTGCCTATTTCAGAGATTCTTTCCCATCTCTACAAATCCTCCCAAGGAACTTCAATCAGGATAAAAAAGATTAGAGCAGTATAAATTTAAACTTCAGACCTTTGTCCCACCTGGCTAATGCATTTTGTTCCTGGATTCCTGTAGTTGCTGGAAAGTTATCTCTCTGAAGTTAGTAATGTCTGTGTCCATTGCTTTGAATTTTCAGAGTTTTCATGTCAACAAGATTACACCCTCAAAGTTTTCTTTAAATACCATTGCAACTTGATCTCTAGTTTCTTCTAATTTTGACTAAAATTGAAGGAAAGTGTTTGGAGATATACTATAATTTTAATTTCTATATACCCTGAATATATGGTTGAATGTATCTATATACTAAATTCCCTAAAGTGGAATTGATAAAAGATAATACACAATTTTCATTTTATAAATATGTCACTTTAGTGTTTATGGTTGCAAATAACAGAAAACCTGATCTAAATTGGCTTAGATTTGAAGGACATTTTATTGCCTCATGTAACTGAAAATTTCACAGATTGGTTTTCAGTATCATGTGATGAGCACTCATGTATTTCTTTGTAATTTTCCTTTAGCTCAGTTCTCCAAATCTTAGCTTTGTCCCAGCCTGGCTACTTTCATAGAACAGAAAGACAATTCCAGGCTTTAGATGTATATGCCACACTAGCCTGAAGACTAGAGATTAACTGAGTTTCAGAATTCTGGTGGTCCCCAATTCCTCAGTGGCACGGTAATTAGAATACCCCAAAACTGTCCCAGTGGCAAGAGAGATGGAAAGACCCTGGTAGATAATGACAAGAAAGAGCTGTTATTTAGGGTCAGTTCCACCCACACTTGAGTCCTAATACAGTGTAGAGGCAGGTGGAGTGGGCATCAGGGCAGGAACCATAGCGTTCACTGCAAAGATACAGGGTACTTGCCCAGAGTCTAAACTGTAGCTCATACCTGTTTATTTTAAGAAAAATGTTATTAGTACTCAGCCACACTCTCATTTATGTACTATGGCTGTTTTCATCCTGCAGTGGCAGAATTAAGTACTTGTGGCAGAGATTACATGGCCTACAAAGCATAAAGTGTTTACAATCTGGCCTTTCACAGAAAAAGTTTGCTAACCTTTGGTCTTAATTTGTTTGCCACATGTTCACTAGCATTAAGAATCTTCTAATATGTTGGGTGAGAAATTTGTTTTTAATTATCATTAAGAGCAGAGGTCTTTTCCTGTTTTTATTTCTTTCCTGAGAACTGCTTGTTCATTTCTTCTGCTCTGCCTTTTGTCAAGTTATTGGCTTTTTACGTATTATTGTTAGGTCATTGTCTTCATTTCAGTTGAGAACTATACTGGCTCTCAGGATTTTTTTTTTTAATTCAGTCTTGCTAGCTTAAAGCAGACATTCAACCTACCTGTCTGTTTTCATATTATATCATTGCCCATTGGGGAAGGTGGAGCAGAAGCAGAGTTGAGTAATAGCAAAGAGACACCAGGGACAGAAATATCTTGAAGTACCCCCGACCCCAGCCCCCCCCCCACACACACACCCTGCCCAGCTTTTTCAGAGGGACTGTGGTGGTCTTCCTTTTGGTTATTTACCAGCTGCCAAAGGACTGCTCCCTCACTCTGCCTCATACTGATAAGTTTATAGTTCTGCTAAGCAGAAGTGGTTTGTTAGTTTCAGAAACTATGAAATTAAGATTTTATGAATTAAAGTTGGTGTAAAGACATTTAATAAACATTTAATTATTTCACATGAATTGGCTCTTGTTGGAAACATATCTTCTACTATTTATTATCACTTTATTAACCAGTTAACATTTCATGAAGCAGAAACATCCATTTTCCCCACTTTTGGAAGCATGATGCAGTGTTTCTTGTTTTCAGATGAGGTAATATCCTCTGAAGATGTTGGGGCTAGCATTTTCAATGGACAGAAGAAGGTGCTGTATTATGCTGATGCCCTGACAGAAATAGCCTTTGTGGTTCCTTCTCCTGTGGAGTCCTTAAGTAAGAGTTTTTTGTTTTTTGTTTTGGCGTGGTGCTGTTTAGGACCTGTTTTTATATTCATAGGATGGTGCGGTATTGTTGCATTGAAAGAGATCTTGAAGTCATCTAAGGCATTTTCCAGCTTCTAAGGCATTAAAATTATTAGATTATACAAAGGTAGAAGATACTGTCTTCTCATAACTTTCTGATGGAAAGTAGATACAGACTGATCCTCAGTAATCTAAATAGTAGAGTCCCATTTCAACCCAATTTTTGTCTTTCTTTCATCTTATTTAATCAGTGTGCAGATACCTTGGTTTACAGTTTGTTCATTTCTTTCACAAACTATGAGTGATCCCCCACCTACCTCACTATTCCCACATGAGAACCTTTATGAGGAACTTTACAGAAGCCTACAACTAGAAGGATCTCATGATGATATCAGCCTGATGTTCTGACCCTGAGCAGAGGAAACTTCAGCAGCCTAGAAAAGATGGTAGTCCAGGACTACGGCTCAGGAGTGAGTCAGACTTCTTAGCCTGAACTCAGTCTTTATTTTACCTAGGACCTTCCTTTTTGCACATTAAGCCCATTTCTTCATGCCTACCAGGCAATAGATCAAAAATGGCACCTTCTTTTTTTAACACCATTGTAGGATGGGATACTATTTATCACACTTTTACAGTCTCACCCATAGGCTAACAATCCTAGGTCGACAGCTTCGTAACCTTTGTGCTTGGACCCTCGACTTCCCATTCTTTGCCCCTCCGTGGTCTAGGTCAGTATTGCAGCAGCTGTTTGCCTTCCTGACAGTGCTGTGGTCTGCCACTCTAATTCCAGCAGCCCACCTGACCAGCAAGTCCTTCCAGAGCTAGAGCCTTATCCTTGCACCACAGTTTCTGCAGTTGGTTCTTTTCCTCCTGTTATGAACCATCCATTATGCCAGCTGTGCCCCACTGCAACTCATCTTCTCCTGTTTCTTGATACAGTATTTGTGTTCCCCTGAGGTTCTGTCTTGTTTTTAATTCTGTGTGCTTGTCTCCAACCAGATTGTCCCTTAATCTCAAAAACTAGGTTGTTCATAGCTTTTGGGTGTCCTAGTATCTACTTTACATAGTGTTCCATGATTGAATATATAATAAAAGATAACTCAGACAATAACAGATAGCTTTTATTACATTCTTTATATGGTAAATCAGGTGTTTTCTAGTTTTATGTCAGTTTTCCTCTGGATCAGGAGCCAGTGAACTATATAGCACACCTGACAAATTCATCCAAGAATGACTTCTGCATGATTAAAGGGTCATAAATAAAATGCAAAGATGAACATGCAACAGAGACCTATATGACCAACAAAACCTAAAATATTATTACCTGATTCTTTACAGAAAGTTTCTAGAAGCAGTGTTGTAAGTGCCTTAGATTACCATAATTAAATTTTTTATCCAAAGAAGTAGCAGTTACTATAGTTGAGTTTTTTTCTTTGCCTTATAGCTGATTCATTGGAAAGTAACATTTCAGACCAGGATAGTGACTCAAACATGGATCTTATGCCAGGAATTCTGAAACAGCCATCCCTGACACTTGAGCTTTTCCCCAATCACACAGACAATCTTAATTCTTCACAGAGGGTAAGTTATTTTGTGGCTGATCTCTAAAAATTTGTAGTGAAATGGGATAATTATAGAATTATGTCTGGAAAGTTAACTTTAATTCAGAGAATAATTATAACAATACTGATTTATTGATAATTTAAATCTTCGAAATCAAATTCTCTCAATTTCCTTTTTTCCAGCCAGCAGCAAATAGTTCATTCTAAGACTTTATGTTCCTTTGTTTGCCATTTTGGTACTGTCCTTGATCTCTTACCAATTACTATTTAAATGTTTTAGTTCCTGTAACATCCACTAAAGGTACAGCGTTAGCTATACATTCCATATCTTTAATCATGGAGTATTCAATTTAAATTAAGTATGACCTTATAAAAATGGCAGTGTTTTGGAGAATAGACCATTACAGAAGTCCCTCCTTATATGCTATTTCATTTTCTGCCATTTCATTACCCATGTTCAACCATGGTCCAAAAACATTAAATGAAGAATTTCAAAAGTAAATAATTCTTAAGCTTTAAAGCACATTCCATCCTGTATAAAGTGGTGAAATCTCATGCCACTCTGCTTCATCCTGCCTAGGATGTGAATCATCCTTTTGCCAAGGATTTCTACACTGTATATGCTACCCACCTATTACTCATTTAGTAGTCTTGTTGTAGTGCCACGATATTCTGGTATCACAATGCTTCTGTTCAGGTAACTCTTACGAATTAGCCTAATGCTACATCATGTTTCACTTCATCTCATGTCAGATCATCACAGGAAGAAGGATGGTATAGTATAATAAGATACTGAGAGACAGACCACATAGCTTTTATTATAATACAGTATATTGTTCTCATTCTTCTATTATTAGTTACTATTATTAATGTCTTACTGTCCTAATTTAGAAATAAAACTTTATCATAGATATGTATAGAAAAAAAACATGACATACAGAATTTGGAAACTATGGTTTCAGGCAAGCACTGGGATGAGGTTGGGGAGTAGGTCTTTGAACATTTAAGAGGGGCACTACTACATATGAATAAATATATTGACTGTGCCACATAGACCCTGCTACAAGAAGAGAGCTTTTTTGCTTTTATGCCTTTTCTTGCCTATCAGCAGATGTTATTTCCTTGTCAGTGTTTTCACTTCATGTCATCTCTTAATCTTTACTGAAAAGTGACCAAGTAAGTGTAACAAGAGTACAGAATCAAATCATAAGTATAAGAATATTGATTTAAAATAAAACAAAAGAAAAAGAAGTGTAAAGTTGACTGAAGTCATTCCTCAGTTGTTTGGCTCCTTCCACAGTGAAAATTATTTTTGACACAGGTACATGCTTTAAAGAGAATATGGGAGCTGGATGTGGTGGTCCACACCTGTAATTCCAGCACTTGGGAGGCTGAGGCAGGAGGATTGTCGTGAGTTCAAGGTTAGCCCGAACTAATAGTGACACCCTGTCTCAACTGCAAAAAAGAGAGAATATGGGAGAGGTTTCTACCTTTACAACTGATTTAGAGGAAAAAAAACCCCATCAAATTGTGGAAGACTGAAGTAGACTGATTTTGAAAATCAGAAGTCTTAGAAGGTTTCACAGAATGTTTGGAGAGTTACAGGTAGTACAATAACATGGTTTGTTTAGAAGAAATCTCTTGGCCACAGTCATTTTCTGTGAATGCCAAAGTAGAAAAAATATGGGATAGGGCTAGGTTGCCATGGACTATAGTCATTTGGCAAAGACATAGTATTTCTGTGCTAATAAAGCAGTTTTAATTTTAATACTCAGCTTAAGTATGGGATTCTCCCTTCTATGCACTTGAGTTTTGTTTAGGACAACAGCATAAACTTAGCTCTGCTGCATGCCCTAAAAGTGGTGTAGCTCAGAGTGCCAGTTTGCTGAAGGGGAGCCATGTAGTCTTGTTAGCCTTGCAAAGAAACTTTAAGCCAGTTGGGTGGCAGGGAAGCCTGAAGCACACTGTGCTTGATAGCAAAGCCCAAGAACTCTTTTCTTTCTGTTAACTAGAAAACGGAATTAGGCACAGATTGCAATAGGAAACATTTGATCTGGGAACTAGGAATAATTTGTTCATAGAGCATTTAAGAGATTAGGATCTCTAGGCAAGCTGGTGATGTTGCATTGATGGGGAAAGCATACTGCTTTCCAGACATAATAGAGACAATCTCAGATCCCTTTACATCTTCATTAAAACATTACATACAGATCTGCTCCTTCCCCGACTGCGGCGCCAATTACAGCAGGGCCTGGAAGCTCGACGTGCACCTGTGCAAGCACACAGGGGAGAGGCCATTTGCTTGTGACTATGAAGGCTGTGGCAAGGCCTTTGTCAGAGACTACCATCTGAGTCGCCACATCCTGATTCATACTGGAGAAAAGCCATTTGTTTGTACAGCTAATGGCTGTGATCAAAAATTCAATACCAAATCAAACCTGAAGAAACATTTTGAATGCAAACATGAAAATCAGCAAAAACAATATGTATGCAGTTGTGAAGGTTGCAAGAAAGCCCTTAAGAAACACCAGCAGCTGAAAATCCACCAGTGCCAGCATACCAGGGAGCCACCCACCGTTCAGGTGTAGCGAGGAAGGATGTGGGAAGCACTTTGCCTCACCCAGCAGCCTGAAGTGACATGGGAAGGTCCACAAGGGTTATATATGTCAAAAGGGATGTTCTTTTGTGGCCAAAACATGGACAGAACTTCTGAAACACATGAGAGAAACCCATAAAGAGGAAATAATGTGTGAAGTATGCCAGAAAACATTTAAACGCAAAGATTACCTTAAGCAGCACATGAAAACTCACGCTTCAGAAAGGGCTGTGTGTCGATGTCCAAGAGAAGGCTGTGGTCAAACCTACACAACTGTGTTCAATCTCCAGAGCCATATTCTCTCTTTCCATGAGGAACAGTGCCCATTTGTATATGAACATGCTGGCTGTGGCAAAATGTTTGCCATGAAACAAAGTCTCACTAGGCATGCCATTGTGCACGATCCTGACAAGAAGAAAATAAAGCTCAAAGTAAAACCATCCTGTGGAAAACGGAGTTTGGCCTCTCGCCTCAGTGGATATATCCCTCCCCAAAAGAAACAAGAGCAGGACTCAACTTTGCCTACAGATGGGGTGTTGGAGAGCTGCGAGGAAGATGGGTGCTTTCCACAGTTGCATTACTCGGCCTCTGCTAGGCGTCACCTGGCCTTGGAGAAGGACTACAGACCAGTGAGCTTAGTATAGCTCAAAAGCCTATTTTTCTTTATTAAAATCATGAATGCACCAAAAAAAAAATGTTGCATACAAATCTTATTGCTATTAATGCAAATGATAATTATTCCATGTTCCTTATCTTCTTTTCCTTTGACAGTTTGAAGCTTTCATTTCCTTTTTCTAGGTCAAGACTCCTAAACAGAGAAGCTGAAGAAGAGCTCTTTGGCAAATGTATTTCACACTTTTTTCCTGGTTTCCATGACCTGATACTCACATCACTGGACATTTTGATAAATACATGACTGGGTAGTTTTATCAAGCTACTTCTTCTTTTTTCTCTCTTCTGCATATAGCTCAGTCCGAGTTCCAGAATGAAGAAGCTGCCTCAGGGTCGCCTTGTGCCTCCCCTTGGACCTGAGACAAGAGTGTCTGTAGTCTGGGTGGAACGCTATGATGATATAGGTACTGTGTAAGGACTTTGTCCATCCATAATAGGATGACAGTGACTTACCAAATGTCTGGAAGGAATGAGGGCATGCATCGCAGCTCTACCACTCAGGTGTACTAAGCCTCAGATTGCTTATCTGTTAAATGGAGATAATTATGGCACTTATTTCATAATTGTAAAGATTTAATGAGACTAGTAGATACAAAGCTTTTAGCTATTGTTATTGGCAACACAGTTATTGTCCCAATCATCCTAGACCTCTAGATAGGGTAAAGGAAAACACTTGACACACACACACACACACACACACACACACACACACGGAAAACACTTCTCCTTATGCCCCCTCTAGTTTTAATGTAAAAGTTACTTTGTCCCTTATGAGTTCTATGGATAAATTTCTTATGATTTTCCTGTAAGCAACAGGAAAGCAGTAGAAATGCATACTTAACCTAGGATCCCATTCTGCTCAGAGTAAGTAGGAAAGTGTGATAGTTGATCAGATCATGTTCCCTAAAATGTTCTGCTTTAGGTGAACTTAGCTAAGATGTCTTGAGGGAGATTTTTCTTTTTTTAATTTTTGGAGACTCATTAGGATTACGTATTATAGGATAGCAAAATCTAAATATTTGACCCCTACCAGTGTAAAGAGATTAGAACTTCAATTTTCTGTTATTTGCTTGGGGAAAATAAGGGAAATATTAATTGTAATGGTATTATTTTCTTCCAGAAAACTTTCCCCTTTCAGATCTAATGACAGAGATCAGTACTGGTGTGGAAACGACTGCAAATAGTAGCACTTCTCTGAGGTATGTGCTTTTTATTTGCTTGAAGTTTATCAGTGTGTGTTGTTGTGGGTTTTTTGGGGGGTTTTTTTGGTGGTACCGGGGATCGAACTCGGGACCTTGCGCTTGCGAGGCAGGCGGAGGCACCACTGAGCTAAATCCCCGGCCCCTGTGTGTGTTTTTGTATGTTGATTGCAGCTTAATAAAGTAGAATTACAATGTATCGATAAGGTTGAAGGCAAAAATAATCAGAGAAGTTTGTACATAAATGCACAAAGTTCTCAAATTAGTGAAAAAATTTTAAAACCACTTTATTGAGGTATGTATGATTGACAAAATGTTGTACATATTTAACGTATTTAACTTGTTGACATTGAAAATAAGTATACATGAAACTCTCACCACCTGTACTGTAAATATACCTATCACCCCCAAAAGATTCCTCCCACTCACCTTATTATCTTATGATAACACTTAACATAAAATCTACCCTCTTAGCAAATTATAAGTACAGTATTATTAATGTTAGCAACCGTGCTGTACAATTGATCTTTAAGACTTGTTCATCCTGCATAAATGAAATTTTGTACCCTTTCATTAATACCCTCCCATTCTCCTCTCTCTCCAGTTTCATTCTACTCTCCACTTCAAAGAATTTAATTATTTTATATTCATATCAGTGGTATTATGTAGGATTTGGCCTTGTGTCTAGCTTATTTCACTTAGCATAATATCTATAGATCCATGTTACTGTAATTGACAGGACAATATTTTAAGGCTGAATAGTATTCCATTGCATGTATATATCCTATTTTCTTTAGTACACCTTTTCTTTGGTATCGAGGATCGAACTCGGGACTTTGTGCTTTTGAGGAAGGTGGAGGAACCACTGAGCTAAATCCCCTGCCCTATATTCTATTTTCTTCATCCGTTCATCTGTTGACGGACTTGCAAGTTGCTCCCATGTCTTGGCTGTTGTGACTAGTGCTGCATTGAACGTGGGAGCAGAGATACATCTTAGGATTACATGTTTTAGGATAGCACTGGACCTCTTTGAGATCCTGATTTCAATTCCTTTGAATATATATCTAGAAGTTGGATTGCTAGATTATATGGTAGTTGTATTTTTAATTTATTCTCATTATAACTTACCTTTGGTTTTTTTAAAAATGATCATCCTAATAGGTATGAAGTGATATCTTATTGTGGTTTTGATTTTCATTTCATTTCATTAGTGATATTGAGCACTTTAGCAAGGATTTTTAAATGGTATCATTAAATTTTACATTTATCTATAGCAAAAAGAAAAATAGAAAAAAAAATAGAGAAGTTGTGGCAGGTAATGAAGGCTGTTACAACAATATTAAATAGAAATGATGGAATTAAATTGGGAAAAAATTCTGGACAAATGGCAGTTTGAGTATCCTAATCTAACTATCTTTTTTTTTTTTTTTTGGTACCGGGGATCAAACTCGGGATCTTGTGCTTGTGAGGCAGGCACCAGAACCACTGAGCTAAATCCCCAGCCCTAACAATCTATTTAATAGGGAAATATTTCTTTCTTTCCTTTCCTTTTTTTTTCCTTTTTTTTTTTAATTTTTGAGACAAGGTCTCACTGTGTAGTTCAGGCTGACCTCTAACACACTGTGTAGCCCAGGCTGGCTTTGACCTCACTAATCCTCCTGTCTCAGCCTCCCAAGTACTGGGATTATAGCCTCACCCTGCTTAATGGGAAAATATTTCTGACTAAAATTAATATTGTTACTATGTTGAAATTTCTACTTTACCTACCCATACACAGAAAGGATAAAAAGAGAATAATCTGGGGCCAGGGATTTAGCTCAAAGGTTTCACCACCTGCTATGCAAGCGCAAGGACCCGAGTTCGATCCCCGGTACCAAAAAAAAAAACAAGCAAAACAACAAAAGAGAATAATCTGATTCTGAGAATATTAACAGTATATTTGGTTAGGCTTTATAGTTTCCAGGGCTTTTTGCTTGTTGGTTTTCGGTTTATAACTCCAGATGTTACAGTTATCGTCCTTGTTTTACTAATGGGCTAAGACAGGCTCATAAAATTTATTTCTCAGGCTAATACATCCAGTATATCAGTAAAGCAAGAGAAAACAATCTGAACCCAGTGTTTGCCCTCAAATACTAACCTCACTTCTCTCATTACAGAGTTGCCCTTGAACTTGATGTTTTCACTTTCAGTTCCTTCTCTTTACACAATTTTATTCTAATTGCATGTAAGATTAATTTATTCTAACATTGTTAGATTTTTATTATTTTAACAAAGACAATAGAGATGGCTTATTGTAACATTATTAATTTTTTTTTAAATTTCCAGAAGAAGGCAAGTCATCCTTAAAATGTTCATATTTTTTATGCTGAAGTATTTTAAAACAAATTACAAGTACCATAACAATCTAAATACATGAGTATGCTTTCTGGAAAACAAGAACACTTTAGATAGCTAAAGCAAACATAACAATAATAAAGTTAGTAATAATCTATTAATATCATATAGTAGCCTTTATATTCACATTTTTCCATATTCCTTAAAATTCTTTTATAATTGATTTGTTCAGATCAGAATTCATTCTAGGACCATGCATCATATAAGTCCTTTGGTCTCTTTAATCTGGAACAGTACTTTTTCTTTTCTTTTCTTAATGGCATTGGCTTGCTGAAGAAACTGTGGAAAAGCTGTCATGAGCTAGACTTTTCTGGAGCTTGTTTGGAAGAGAACTTAATACAGTCTGGCCGTAAATTTGTTTTATTGGTAGACTAGCAAATTTTAGAATTTGTCTTATGAATAGAATTACTGTAGGATTTTTTAATTAACCAGGAGAATACTAAACATACTTATTAGCACAATAAAGCAGCCAAAATGAGGCACAGCAAACAGAAACATACATTAGCATTCAGAGGGTTAGTGTTGTATGAAACCATTGCTTTTCTTTTTTGTAGACTTGACAATAGCCATAGGGATTTAAAATGACCTTCTGTAGCAGCTGGTAAGGAAACTAAGGAGCACTCACCAATGGTACAGAGCATATTAGCAAAAGAAAACAAGAATGGATTTGGTTCCTATAGTGTAAAATGTCTAAGAACTAGAAATTCAGTTCAATACTAAGCAAACACTAGAAGTTGCTGATACTTCTCAAAGCACTCAAGTTGTATCACATACAACTCACTCAAGTTGTATCACATGTATCACATTTACAGATACAAACGTTGGACGATACCTACATCTGCAGTTTAGGTTTCAAGTTTTGTGGGTTTTTTTGGTACTGGGGATTGAACTCCGGTCCTTGCGCTTGCAAGGCAGGCGGCAGAACCCCTGAGCTAAATCCCTGGCCTGGTTTCAAGTTTTTTCTTTAAGAATGAACTATACTGAGTCACGTATGGTTACACTTGAGCTGAGGCAGGAGGATCACCATGACTTTGAGGCCACCATAGGCATCAGTTCAAGGCCAGTCTGAACTACAAAATGAAACCCTATCTCAAAAAACCAATATAATTAAATAAATGCACTGAAATTCTAAAAATTGTGAAATTCAGCTGTGAGAGTTTACAAAATAAATACTGCCATTATTGTTTAGCAATAATCTCAGCACCAACCACTGTAGTTACTATTATCTGACTTGTTTGAGCATCTTCTAGTCTCATTGTCTTCATGGTTCACAAACTCATGGGCATAGGAACCGATCCAACCTTAATGAAACTATGTTTAGCATGTCAGCTTTTTAAAAATCACACTTAGTATTGTAATTGCATCAGCTATTCCAAATACAGTTTTAAGTTAAAGCATTATTTAAAAAAAACAATGCCTAGGCCCTTTAAATAAAATTCTACTACTAATTTTATAAGTCTGGAATTTAAGAATGACTCTAGAAAACCTGGTTTACTTAACTCTGCCTTTTGCAGAAGAGAAAAAGGAACTAAGCTACAGCAGCACTTAGTAAACTGCACTGTACCCTTGTGACCAGAAAGTTGCCCCCCATAAAAGGAAGTCAGTCTTTTATTTTATCCATTTATTTGTTGGACTTCCAAAGTTTGATTTTTAATAACTACAAATGCCATTACTTTTGGAACGTTATGCAAAAAATAATTTTAAACATTAGTCACACTGTTGAAATACTCTTAATATTAATAATTGGTTCTTTAGTAAGAAACAGTTCTTCATAGCAAATACTCTTGAGTTCAGTCTCCAGCAGAGGGGGAAAAAAGAATTTTTTAATGTCTTGAAAGATTCACTCAGTGTGCTTTTGCTAAAAATCACTTTACGTGTAGGGAAAGAGAACTCATGCCCCCCCCCCAAAAGCCCCCAGCTGTCCATAGCACAGAGTAACAGGAATAAATCTTGATAGGTTGACCATCTCTGAGGTGGATGTGTAACTCACTCTTCCAGAGATGTATCTACTGACCTTAGCCCCCGCTGTTTGGTCAGGGTGGTCATTTATCACCCCAGCTAAGGAGGACACTTACAGCCAGTGTAGACGAAAGGCCTCCCAACCACCTCTCCTGACTTCTGAAAAAAATTATGTCCAGGGTTCCCAGGCTGGACTTCACTGTCTTCTGCTCTGATGCAGGTGCAAACTCACCTGTGCTAGAACCCCCTGTGGTCTGGCAGCCACACTTCTGTTCGCTGCAGAAAGGGGACTAAGTGCAAGTCCCACAGTTGGCTGCTGGATTCTCAGCTCTCACAATAGATTTGTCTATACTTTCTATCCTACCTCCTCACTAGTTTTCCAAGCATCTTTTTTAAGCCTCTTTTTGTTAACTTAAAAAGCCTGACTCTAATAATGAGCATTTAGTTTTGCAGAGTGCAGTAACACGCACTTCCAGAAAGAGGACCCTGAACAGACTGGACTCATTGGCTCTTCTTAAACCACTGTTGGCAGCAGGTCCCATTGGCATTCTTTTATGCTGCATATGGGGGACTTAAACTCTTGTGTACCTGAGCTAAAAAGACTTTTCTTTTGTTAAGATCGACAACACTTGAAAAAGAAGTTCCAGTCATCTTCATCCACCCTTTAAACACTGGATTATTCCGGATAAAAATTCAAGGAGCCACTGGAAAATTTAACATGGTCATCCCTCTTGTGGATGGGATGATAGTCAGCCGGCGAGCACTTGGTAAGTTCTTCATGTGTGCAAGAGCTAAGGTTTCTTTCCTTCTCTTAATATGTTTATAAACCAAGAAGATGAAAAATCAAGGGATGGTGCTATTACTTAGTAGTTCCACATGGAGAAAATGCTATGGCCTTTGTTAAAAGGGGAGCACATTTTCCAGATTTGAACTGTCTTTAAGTATTGTACAGTTAAGACTTCACAAGCTACTAGGAAGATAACTGGTTGTAATACAGGCAGGAAATGGATTGTCAGGCCAGATTTTGGTCTGTTTTTCCTTGTCATGGGGTTTTTCTTCTGACAATGTTTTCTTAGTGCTGTGTCTTGTCTCTCTGGGGAGGGAAAGTTAAGCAAATAAATGCAGTACTTTGAGTATGAAGAACAGTTCATCTGAACACTGAGAGTTCATTAATTGAGTGATCATTGACAGTTATGTTAACCCTTTTTGTTTTCAAGGCTTTCTGGTGAGGCAGACTGTAATAAACATTTGTAGAAGAAAGAGACTGGAGAGCGACTCCTATAGTCCACCACATGTCCGCCGGAAACAGAAAATCACTGACATTGTCAACAAGTACCGGAACAAGCAGTTGGAGCCAGAGTTTTATACTTCGCTTTTCCAGGAGGTTGGACTCGAGAGCTGCAGTTCTTAGACCACTGTCTGTCTTGAACTCCATTGTATGGACTGTAATATCAAGCCAAGACAGTTTGACAGGTGATCACTGTAAAAATAAAAACAAATCACTCCCTGAGAGCTTACTGTTTAATCACCAGAATAGAAAAAACACATTGTAAACCCACTGGATAGAAAGAAGACTCAGCTTTCTAGTTAGTCAGATGGGCTCCCGGACGCAGTCATACTCCTGCTGGTAATGACGATAAAAATTTTAGTCATAAACTTTCTTTTAAATGTGACAATTTTAGTTAAATATAAGCCTTTCGAGGAGAAAGGCTTTTATGCATCTTAGTTAAACACATGCATTGGTAGTATCAACAAATTTGCAAATTAGAAGTTGAAGATAGTTTTATATCTCACTTTTTAGGAAGTTGTATTCAAAATTAAAATCTGTCTCAGAATCTTCCAGGACATCTTGAAGGCTCATGTTGATAGCGTGGAAGAGAGGGAAAGAAGTCCCAGCCTTCTGCTTATTTGTAGGTCCATTTGTCTCCAACTGTTAAACTGAGAAAAAGAAACAAATTTTTATTTGCTCAGCTATGAAGTCTGACATTAAAATATTTCATATTTTCTTTCCATATTTAAAAAGTTGTCCTTCTTATCACTGTATAGATCTGTCTGAAGGCCTCAGTTTTTGAACAAATAGATCTAAAGCAGAGGCAGTCTTATCCTGTAATGGGGTTACTAATGAAGTTTGTGGGGTTAAAAGCTGTAAGACAGCAGTGATGCCTTCATTCTAATGTAAATTCACAGCAGGGGTTGAAAATGATTTGGTTTCATCCATTATCTCTTATTTCAGGACCAAGCAGCAAACTGCAGTAGTTGATGAAGGATTCTATTTGGGGTTCAGGAAGTAGCCTCTCAATGCTACTGATGCAGATCTCTCCCAGAGAGCTCTCGGATTACATCATAATTGACAGACATTAGTGACCACCTTCTTGGGTGGCTGCTGTTAAAAATGGCTGTTGTCATATTTTCTGGACTTTGCTAGTTGAAGGCACAACAAATCCCTGCCAGGATTTTGGAAATATTTCTGTTACCTCGCTGCTACTTTTCTGCCAGAGATAAAACACTTGAGGTGGACAGACCCAGACTGTCCTTACAAGGATTCCTGTTACAGTGCTACTGCATATACCGCTCATTTCTCCTATTTTTGTGTGTTTTCTTCTTTAGTAAGATTATTTTGTATTAAGAAAATAAGTAATATTTGAAGTCCAAAGAGAAGTGATCGGAATTGTACAAGGGTTGTTTCCTATTGTACTGTGATGTCAGTAGGTTCTGTAGTCAGGGCTACATTGGTCTGTTTGATTTGATGTTTTGGTAGTTTTCCTAGAGGGTCAGGTATAGTGTAGGACCTAATTCCCTGTGCAGATAACTATTCCAGAAGGATGCATTGTGCCATCTCTGAGCAAGAAACGTGGGCATAGCAGCTCTTGGTCTTGAGTTGGCCACACCCTTTCTTCATGTTTGTTTTAAGCTCAGGTAAAGATAACCTCCTCTTCCTTTTCTTCCTCTTCTTCCTGTGACTCCAGTCACAGGGCATAATATTGTTCAATCATTTTCTTTTTGAGCTAGATAATAAATTCGTATTTCCAGATGATAGCATGGGAGGTGGGGGTGTATTGTAAAGATTGGTGAATTCTACCCTAAAAATGTTTTAGTAGCTGAGCAAGAATAAGATGAAGTTTAACACCTTCCAAGGAAATTCCAGATTGACATTGCAGGGGCCCCTTGTTCTAGTTGGGAGTAAAGAAAGAAGGTCATTCACAATATTACAGAGGTTAAAAATAGCTGATGTCAATGTACTTCCTCAAATAAATCTTTTATTCTTGAATACTGAATAGTTTGAATATCAGAAAAGTGTGGGGGGGGATGTGGGGAGTGGGCTTGCTGATTCTTCAGTTAGCCGTAATTTCTGTCAAGTCTTTGTAATTCTAATGGTAAGTGAACAACTATGTTGAATGTGGTTTGAGATCTGTGAGACTTGGTGGTCCCTCAGGAAAGGAGGGGTGTGCAGTCCCCAAAGACATGAAATCCCTAGTGAGTACAGGGCCAACAGAACATGGATTTGCACACCTTGTCAGGTGCTAGTTCCTTCTGCTTAAGTTGCATCTACCCAAAAAGGAAGTGTGGTAAGAACCCTTGGACCTACACTAGTGTAGGTTAAAGTTCATGCTTACTACATTCACCCAACAACCTGTGTTAAAAAATACTTTGAGTAGAATAATGCCAGAGGAACATACTTAGTACCTAATAGTCTTTAGTAGTGCACTTGATAAGTTTGCCAGCACGTGTTCAGAACCTTTGGGTGACAGCTAGGACCACTCTGGTCTGTGACTTAAGCAGTTCAGTTGCTTGTGTGCTGGGTCTGCCAGGGGTCGATGGGAAGAGGTAAGCAAAATCCAAGAGACAGGCAAGTCACCCCTCCTATTCCCTTCTGAAATTTCAGGGAGGGAGTTCTTTCCTCTTCTCTGGTTAGGAGAACTGAGGACAGAAAGGAGGCCTTTGACCTTAACCCTTTCCATTTTCAGCCAGCTCTGCCATTTTGTCCAGCACTTCCTCCTAAGACCATCCCCAGTCCTTTGGCCTTTTGAGAGGAATAAGTGCATGGTAGGACCTTCCACTTCCCAGCCATATGTAGACACATGTGCTCACACACACATGCACACACACACACACACACACTCTCTCACACTCCTACACATTTTCCTCCACTTCCAGGTTGTCTGTTTCATTGTAGCCCATTCTTCTTGGGACTTGGGTGTAAATACAGAATGCCTATACCTTTGGCCTGTAATGTCAGTTGGCCACAGATTGTGCTTTGAAGTGTTTGTGAACAGTTCCTGTGAGCAGTGAGGAAGCATTTGTCAGGCTCTGGAGACCAGTTTCTGGAGAGGCACAGTGGAGCTTCACCCAGGGTGAGAGCCCTGCACAAAGACAGGAGCTGTGGAAGATGGTGAAGCATGTTAGGGGCCACTTGACATACCTGCTGCCAGTGGTTCTGCATTCAGCATCTGTGGCCTATTCAGGTTGTGTCATCCTGAAATGATCGTTGCACTTACATAAAGCAATCTTTGGAGTCATCTAATCTGTTTTGGGGGCTCCCTGCCAGCCTGTTTTCCTGGTGTCCCTCCAGACAGTGTGGAGTCAGACTGTGGTCTCAGTAGCTAGCAAAGCCATGCACTGTGTAGTGTTTTTCTCAGAATATCAACCCTTATTCTTTAGACACTTTGTTTTTTAATGGTGAGGGAAAAGGTATAATTTGGGATTCCACAGTGCCTTGCATATAGTAGGCGCCCAGTAAATATTTGCTGAAGCAAACCAAGTTTCCCAACTCCTCATCTCCTGCAGTGACCAAGACATCTTTCTCCTCTGAAGGGCTTGGCAGTTGTGGCTAAAAACTAAGCAGTATCATTATTTGCTTGAAACCATATATACGATTTGTATGAATTTCGGTATGTTGCCAAGACATGATCTTTTTCTTATTGTATTTTCTGTAAATATTTCTGGCACTGAACTGTAAAGGCGAGATGTAAATATGAAGGTGTACTTGTGTCCCCTTGCCTCCTGTGTTTGATCTTCATCAGCTAGGGAAGAAGGTCTAGAGGTCTGTTTGTATTTATGCCAATCTTTTGTCCAGAAGAAACCCATGGAATATTGAATGTAATACATTTAGTCAATTAAATTTTAAGGAGATTCTTATCTAATAATTCTGTGTGTGATTTTGGTTACAGGCTGGCTGGCGGTCTGACTTCTGCATGGGTGCTCTTAATTCCCTTTTTCCAGGGGGCATGGGCTCAGCTTTGCCTGTCCTTCATAATTTAAGATCTGTGAATTTTTACCTTGCGGCTGGGGATTATTGAGGGGAAGATGACTCTGACCCCCGGAATTTTCTGACTGAGCAGTCCAGAAAGCAGGGAGATGCAGAAGAGAACACTCCCCCAACCCCACTGCTTCTGTGTGCGGTTGTCTGCAGAAGATTCCTTGGGACCAGATGACAGGTGGTGGGCTGTGTATGCCCCTCCCGAGAGTCATCCCTCCAACCCAGCACAGACTCCACCTTCTGTAAATATATTGACCCTAAAATCTTGTGCCTGGAGCTGGCCCTGCAGTGGGTGACCTACTCCTGCTCTGCCAGCCCACCACGGAGCCTTCAGCTGGATCTGATAGCCAGGAAAGTTGATTGTACACTGGTCCTGTTTTGGTGTCTGGGAAGGTCTCTTAGCCTGAAAATGTGTGTGTGAGTCTTGCCATGTCTCCTGCTCCATTCTGACCTAACCCCTTCAGGACCTAGTGCCTAGACGTCACCCCAGCCCTGGCCACCCTACTTCTGGCCTTGGCTTCTGGGCCCTGTGTCTGGCACAGCCTGCCTGAGCTTTGCTCTTGGATGGACATTTGAATACTGTTTGCCCAGATCTCCTTCTCTGGGAACTCGGTGTCCCACAGCAGGGCTTGAACTCCCTCTAAACCACTGGTTTTCCAGGCACCAGCTAGCCCTTCCCCTGCTTTTTTTTTTTTTCCTATGGCTGGCTGTGTGCCCTTCTCCCTGCACAGTTCCCCATGTCTACTCCACGTCACCCTGGGTTTGTCACCCATTTCCTTCAGCAGCTCCCCTGGCCTGGAATGACTGCCTAACATTAACCACAAAATGCAATGATCTCAAAATCAAGTCTGGATCAGAATCACTGTAGATGGGATATTAGTCCAAGCCTTACCCTCTAGAGGTTCAGACTCAGTGGCTGAGGGCAAGCCTAGGAATTTGCATGTTTAATAGCTACCTTCCAATCCTACCCACCTGCTGTCAGTGACAGGCAGGTGGAGCAAGGACTCAAGCCCATGCAGTTGCCACTCCTGAGTGGGTTTCCCCAGGCCCAGCAGGCTCTCAACCTGGCTACAGAGTCTCCCTACAGTTTAGGGGCTGCTGGACCCTGGGAGGCCCATATCCACCTTCCTACCACAGGCTGGAGGTTTGCTAGCTACTTCACCAGTGGATGAATGTGATGTGATGTGAGAAGATAAGAATGGCATTTGGGATATCCTACCCACTTAGGAGATGAGGAAAAGCCTTTAGAAGTCCTTCACTGAAAACCCTAAAAAGGACAAATACAGAAGCCTCCAGATTAATAATTTATTCGGAGCCTACTACTGTATGTGTTAGACAGTTTTTTGTTTGTTTTTGTTTTTGAGATAGGGCCTTGCTATGTAGTTCAGGCTGGCCTTGAACTCACTATGTAACCCAGGTTGGCCTCAAACTCACAGTGACCCTCCTGCCTCAAACTACTAAGTGCTAAGATTACAGGCGTGTGTCACTATGCCTGGCTAGATTAGACCATTTAAAAATGGCAGTCCAGTGACCTAATCCAGCACAGCAGATAGATTTTAGTTAGCACAGTTTGAGCTGAGATTTTAAATGGAGATTTCACATAAAACCCAGACTTTTTGGTTCTCCTGGAAGAGTTGCAAGGTCTGGCAATGCTGGACCCTTGTAGCTTTTATTGGCTGGAGCTCTGACAGCTGCTTTCCTCACAGCCACAAAGCTCTCTCAGTTTGCTGCCGTCACCACTACCCCCGCAGGTGTGGCTGGACATACTCGCTGGAAGACAGGATCTGGGGACGCTACTGGCACTTGGCAACATCGGTAACCCAATGTGAACTCCCACCCAGGAGTAAGTTTTATACTGTCATCTATTTTTCTAACTTTTATAATTATTCACTGAAGTCTTATAACAAAGAGGATCAGAGAGGCTTCACATGAACCCAGTGACTGCTGATCTGGGATTAAACTCATCCTGCGTGCATGGAGGCCTGGGCCTTTATTCCCAGCCACATATCTCTGTCCTAGCTCCCATGGGCATCCTGGTTCTTGCCCTTCAGGCTCTACCTGCAGGACACTGACATTCTTGTTATGTCACCACTTGGTCACAGTTGGGCTGAGAGCGGAGCACAGCCCAGCCTGCCAGTTCCCTGGTGCAGCTCTGCCAGCTTAGCCCAGAGTGGCCCCATGCAGCCACACATGCACCATGAGGTATCCACTTGTGCCTCTGCTGAATGACCTCACATACATATCCTGTCCTGATTTTCTGTCTGTGCCTATCTGTGGGCTTGCTGTTGTTCTTGTTGATCACCTGGTTCTGCTTAGCCAAGATGAGGCCCTGACTGGGCCCTAATCTTGGAACTGGGTGTGAGGCTGGAGCAGGATGAAGTGTCCTGAAACACTGCAGCAGTTTTGCTCAGCCAGTTTAGTGTGGTTTAGATACACTCAACTGTAAGGGAAAAGCTCTGATTTGACAGCTTAGGGTTTCTAGCTTTCTTTTTCTTTTTTTCCTTTTTTTTTTTTTTTTTCCTGTGCTGGGGGATCAAACCCAGGGCCTTTGCACTGAGCTACATTCCCAGCCCTTTTATTATTTTTTATTTTATTTTAATTAATTAATTAATTTATTTATTTATTTGGTACCAGGGATCAAACTCCAGTCCTTGCGCTTGTGCAGCAGGCAGCGAAACCACTGAGCTAAATCCCCGCCCCTATTTTTTTTTATTTTTGAGACAGGGTCTTGCTAAATCACTAAATTGCCCAGGCTAGACTCAAACTTGTGATCCTTCCTGCCTCAGTTTCCTATAGTACAGGCATGCACCTCCATGCCCAGCTAATTTAGGGTTTCTTCACCTAGAGTTCAAGAGTGAATCCCTGAGTTTGACTGTGAAGCAGTATGTTTGTGTCCATGTCTGTCCACCAGGGACCACTATGCCTGGGCTCTTGTTAGACAGAGGTGGCCCCTCTGGGACAATGAATTAGAAAAAGAAAAGTAAGTGCCCTTTCCTGTGCAAAAAGCTGTGAGCAGAGGATGGGCTGGATTCCAGCCCCACTAACTCCCTCACCTAGGTGCTTTTGTGCAGTAAGCAACTTGTACAACAGGATAGTTCCACCTTTGAGGCTTTTTGGATGCCCACAGATCATACCTCAGAGAAGACCTGGGTCTCTCTGGAATGCATGTATCAGAAACAGACTGACATTCACCTTGACCTCAGCATGCCACCAAGAGGAGCAAGAGGCAGAATAAAGGTGACTGAGGAAAGCTGGGGCAGGTGGGCTAGGATGTGGCCTTACCACATGGCAGGTATTGTAATTCTGTACCTCAACACCCTGTAGCTGAGCATCCTCCCTTCCCTCTGCCAAGGGACTGCCTGACCTTCCACCTCCTGCTTCTCAGCTCCATGGCCTTTCACCAGCCAGGCACAGAGGCTGCCAGGCCTGCTGCCAGCTCTGGTCGTAGGTTCACCCCACCCTTGCCCCGTGATGGCAGTGTGGGAGCTGGTAATTATTCAACGTTCCCAGGAGGAGCCTAGGAAATCCTTTTGCTTCCAGAAAATGTTTGTTTAAAGCATGACCTCATATTCCCAAAGTGAACTATAGTCCCCTGCTTGGGGGCACAGCTTGGCCATTGGGCCTCATGGCTGCTGGGAGTCCGAGGCTTGTTTGTGTGCTGTCTCTCTTTGGTCTAGAAGATGTAAGTTCTCATTTCAGTCACTCCCCCTAATAGTTCATAATGATAGCTAACCTTTTTTGGACACTGACTGTGTAAGTCTTGGGCTAAATATACAACATGTATTATGTCATTTAATCCTCACAATAACTGTTGTGAAGCAACCCTTATTTTACAGTTGAGGAAACTGAGACTTGGAGAGAAGACCTTCCCAAAGTCATGCACCTCTGAAGTACTTAGAGTGCAGACTTCAAATCCTGTCTCAGCCACCTGCCAGCTATGTGACTTGGACCAGTCCTGTGTGAGCCCCAGCTTTCTCCTCTGCAGAATGGAATAATATGGTGCCTGCCCTTTGGGGCTGTGGAAAGGCTCCATGGTGGTGGGTGCCTGTCATCAGCACATATATGCATAGGGCACACAGGTGTTTATAGCCTGAGGGAATAATTCATTCAATGCTCGTTTTGTCACAGTGGGAAGCAGTTTAGGGCGGCTTTGAATGCCTTTATCAGAGGGGACACCTTCCCTACTACACAGAGCATTTTGAAATAAGTCCTTTGCAAATTTTGCAATGAAGAGAGAATCTCCTAAAGTGAGATAAGTGGTCCTCTCTCAAGGTCCTCATCTTCTTGGAACTCTCAGTGTCACTGTGTATGCTTCACCCTTGTGACAGGGACTGCCCCAACACAGAATCTGGGCCCGCCGGGGTTTGGGGGCTGTAAACCCGGGACATCCAGGCCCGTGGTTTTCTATTCTGCTGTGTGTCCCTTTATTGGAATCAGTATGGCTGGAATCTCATATGAAAAGCAGACAAGAGCTCCTCTGACTCTTCCTCCCCACCCACACCCCCATTCCTGGCTCAGCAGGACTGTGGCAGGACCAGGGGTGACAGCAAATGCCCGTGGGACTGAGAGGATACACCTTCCCAGGTTGAGGGAGGTATAGCTGGGGAGGAGAAGGGAGCTTTGTAGTGAGACCAGCACAGTAGCAATAAAAAGTAAATGAAAAATGAAGTGGGGCAGCTCAGCTCCTGGGGAAGCTGCTAGAGGGGACACTGGCTGCCTCTGCCATGACGTGGGAGAGCAGAGGGAGCCATGTGGCCCATATGGGGAAAATGCTCTGCTGTGGATTTTCCCCCTTTGCAGTTTGAAAGGAATTTATGGAAGGAAGAAGGGAAACATCCAGAGGTGGATTTGGGCTGAGACAGGAGCGGTATGAAGGGCTGTGCCCTGGACAGTCCTTCCACTTGCATTGTGTGCTTGGAGCACAATGTCAGAGCTGCCTCTGAATCCCCCAGCTTTAAAACGAATGCACCCAATGGAACTCCACAGGACTAAGGCGCCAGGAAGCTGAATTTGTACTACCCCTCCTGGCTGTGAGCCTGGACAAGTCATTTCACCTCTCTGAGCCTTCTTTATCTTAAGATATGAAAAATACTATAGATTGAGCATCCTTAATGCAAAAAAAGTGACACTTAAAACAAGTTTTGCATTTTGGAGCATTTCTGATTTGGGGTTTTTGGATTAGGGATGCTCAGCCAGTAAAATCGATGCATAATTCCAAAATCTGAAGAAAATCCCAAACCTAAAACATTTCAGGTCTCAAGCATTTCGAATAAGGACTACTTAACCTGTAGTAATAATTACTTTCTAGAAATTAGTGAGAGGATTAGGAAAAGGCAACTAGTGACACAACGTAAAACTATAATAAAAGGAGTCTTCCCATCCCATCTCCTCTTCATCAGGCCTTCTCAAGATAAGCCAGGTCAGCAAATTCATGCACTCAATAACATGCTGGTGTTCAAAAACAACGGGAAGGAGAGCGGAATTTTTTAGAGTGATCCTGCCATATACATTTCTCTGCGACTTGCTTATAACACGCCATGGACAGCCTGCAAGTCCAAAGATTCAGCTATAATGCAATCATTTTAACAGCTTTCATTGGGTTAATGGACCAAGTCTCTAGTCACCCAGCCCCCTCATGATATACATGCACACAGTTTCAAGAATTCTATTTTTGGTATGTGTTTCACCACAGGACTGTGCTGCCCTGAGAATCATTGTAAATGTGTACATAGATATTTGTTAATGAGTGAATGAGAGGACAGATGGGTCAATGATTGGGTGTGTTCTTCAGCACCTCCTCCTGTACAGTGCCCAATACAGTAGATCAGTTGCACATCTCTGGGTCCTTCCCTTTCCAGTAGATAGATACGGCCTCTCTCTGAGTCTTGGGACAACCTTCTTTCTAAGTTTCTGGTCACCATTCAAGGCCATGGAGTCTACATAAGGTCCCAGGGGTGGCCCCTGTGTCACAGTTCTGCCTTGGCCTCCTGTCCTCCAACAAGGGTGCAGGGATCCTAGGTCTGGAAGGGGAAACCTTTTGGGCAGTGGGTGGGAGACAGGATGTAACTAGAGGCCTTGTCTTGGACCTTCACAGATTCAGAGGAAAGTGCTCCAGATTTGTGCTTCAACTGGGATCCCTGGAGCAAAGGCTCAGCCGACCTTTGCTGGGAGGGGACACTTCATGGGCAAGAGGAAGAAAGGCTGTCCTGGTGACCTGTTGTGCCAGGTAAGGCTGTTCTAGAGGGTAGTGATGCCTAAAGCCCTGGGCCACTGCTGTGTTGGATTAGGCTCTTGCTTGTTCTCACCAGGGTAGAGAGTTTGGTATCAACTATGCTGGAAGACCAGCCACCTCTGCCATAAGGAGCTTCCTTACAAAGGCTAAGAATTAAATTCGTGTTAAATCCTCATAACAACCCTGTCAGTTGGAACATGGTTCCGTTGGATGGGAAACAAGTTCAGAGAGGTTAAGTAATTTGCTCAAGGTCACACAGCCAGAAAATGGTTCATTTTCTGAGTCTTAGTGAAATGCTTTTCTCAAATGAACAGTAATACCACTTGCTCCTCCTAGATTCAGATGATGCAGCTTCAGATTGTGGCACTGATGTCTGCAGGAGACAGGTATAAACTCAGAGCAAGGCCTGAGGAATGCAGAGAGGAGATATCTGATGGTCTTTGGATTTGTCATCCACCTCCACACCTGCTGTCACCTCACATCTCCCAGGCGTACCCTTATCTTCTATCCTGCACCCTGAGACCACAGGCCTGGAATCCCACATGCACATCCATTAGCTGCCCACCCCTTTGAGCTTGATTGGCATCATGTGGAAAATGGGGCCAATCCGTCTTGTTCATCTCCTGAAGCTGCCATAACAAAGTTTATGAGCTGAGTGGTTGAGAATGAGAGAAACACTGTCTCAGAATGATGGAACCCAGGAGTCTGTGTCAAGGCGCCTGCAGGGCTGTGCTCCCTCTGAAATCTGTCCTTGACTCTTCCAACTCGTTTCAGCTCCAACCTTGACCCTTGAGCCAATCAGCAAGTCCAAGTTTGGACCAGTCTCAGGCCTGATGCTGCTATATAAGCAGCACTACTCTCACACACTTGGTCTAGAACTGCTCCCTCTGGTGTACTGATCCCCTTGTGCTGCAGCACAGTCCCTGTTCAAATAAAGCCTCACTCCAGTGATCCTGCAAATCTCATAATGTAATTCATTTCTTAGGTAATGTGGGCTCAGAAGGTCCTAAAAATCTACTCTTGAGTAGTGTGGATAGAGTTGTAAACACCAAAAGCTCTTCTCCCTGAAGTGCTCTAGAGATAAGGAGCCAGTGAAGGTCAACAACAGAGACCAGAAGCCTGTGCTGCAACCAGCATTGACTGGCAGCAGCCAGCAGCAGCAGAGACCAGCACTGGGCAGTGCTGACCAGTGGTGTCTGGCATTAACTGGTGTTGACCAGCAGCATCAGAGCCCAGAGCTGAATCACTAAGGACTAACGGCCATTGGTGCTCAAAGCCTGGAACTGTTACTACACTTTGCCAAAGTGTGATTTCTGTCTCAGTTGAGCGAAAGAACCCTTCCACTGACTGGTAATAGGAGAGACAGTTCAACACATGTAGAACTCAGCACAGTGCTCAGCACTTAGTGAGTTCTCCATCAATTGCTATCAAAAGAAAAAGAGCACTGGGAAGTGAGGTGCTCTGTGTACATTGGGTACCAAGTATAATTTAAGTGCTTGACATGCACTGTCCGACTGAAGCCTTACAAACATGTCTTAAGACATGTAAGATTTTCACAATGATGAGGAAGGTGTGTCTTGTTGAGGTTAAGACATTTGCCAGAAGTCACATAGTTTAAGTGGCAAAACTGAAGATCAACCCAGGCTGTGGGGCCAGGGATTTAGTTCAGTGGTTCCGGCGCCTGCCATGCAAGCGCAAGGTCCTGAGTTCGATCCCAGGTACCGGAATAAAAAAACCCCAGGTTGACAAGGCTGCACTATATCACATGGAGTGGGAGGCACTGACCCTCTTTGAAGATAAGCTCTTTGAGACATAACTGAGGAAAGACGAGGTCATACTGGACTGAAGTGGGCCATGGATCCGATGGCTGCAGTCCTTATAAGAAGGCTATGTGACAGCCAAGGCAGACTGGAATGACTGCCCAAGCCAACACTGCCAGCAGCAACAGAAGCTGGAGGCAGCAGGGAAGCACTCTCCCTGAGGGCCACTGCCTTGCTGATGATTTGGGGCCCAGGGCATCCAGAACTGTGACAGAGTTTGTTGTCTTAAGCCCCTAGGTTGGTGGTAATCTGTCACAGCGGCCCCAGGACTCTAATGCAGCTTAGTAGACACAGGCTCCTTCCCCAGAGGCCTCCGGGTGCTGGGCAGGGCTGCAGCCCAGGGATCTTCATGAAACCTAATGGGGCAGCCTGATTGGGGTGTGGAGGGCGTCTGCCCTGGTGGCTGCCTACCCGCAGCTCACCCCTCGGTATTGCTGGGTAAGGACCCCACCGCCTGCTATGTGGCTGGGTGAAGCCTGACCTCCCTGAACCTGTCCCTCACTGCCCAGGGGCTACCATATTGCTATGAGAACCAAACAAGACAGAGAGAGACTGCTATCCTCTCTGAGGAGGAGGGCCCCAGAGCAGAGCAGGTGACACAGGCAGGAACCACCAAGAGCTGCTCAGGATGGAGAAGGCAGAAAAGTGGCTCTCACCAAGTGCCCAGCATGTGCCAGCCCACAGGGCTGTCACTCCCAGGCTACCCTGCTGAGTAGAGGGGACTGTCAGCCCCACAGAACGAGGGCCTCCATTGAAAAGCTGCTGAAACAGCCAGAGCTGTTTCAGTGTTTCTCTCATCCAGAGAAGTCGGATGCATGGGGCCTGCTGTGGTTGTAGAGGGTCAGGCTGTGATTCAGGCCATGGTCCAGGTCCAGAGCGAGGCCCAGATGGCAGTAGGAACGCAGCAGGAGCTACCCGGGGCCCAGGCTGTGCTCCCCGGAGAAAGAGAGGGCCTGGGGGGCAACCCCAAGCTGGGAGTCATGGAGCTGCAGGGACGGCAGCTTCCTCTCCCCACTGGGACCATGCTCGAGAACTAGGGCAGCAGCCTGGGGGGTCTCCCAGCCTCCACTTCTGCCCCACCACAGCCCTTCCTTGCCTGGCAGCAAGACAGGCCTCTAAGAAATGCAAATCCAACATTTCCCCACACTCAGTGCCTCATTTTCCCTGCTTAGACGAGAAGCCAGGCCCACTGCCTGGCCAGTGGGCTGCAGTGTCTTCTAACTGCACCTCCTTGTCCAGTTGGCCCCACCGTGTTCTTCACATACCTCAACCCCGCTGCTGCCCAGGGCCCAGCTCCCCCACCTGTCCTTCCTGTGTCCATCCCAGGCTCTGACCCAGGCCACACAGCTCTTGCTGTTCTGTGTCCTCCACCCCTGACTGTGCCCAGGAGGACAGCCACCTGCTGTCCCCCACTCACAAGGACCTACTCATTACTCGTGGCCTAGAGGCTGGGGATGTAGCTCAGTGGCACCACGTCTGCCTGACAAGCACAAGGTCCTAAGTTTGATCCCGGTACCAGGAAAAAAAAAAGTTTCAAACTCGTGGCCTAGGGTTCTCGCATGGTATAAGGGCAGAGACTGCGGGGCGCATAAAGCCTTAGGAGAAGGGGTGGGGCAGAGGGGCGGGAGGAAAAGAGGAGGACAGAGAAATAGGAGGATAGGAACGCCGTGGGAGGATGGACGGACAGAAGAGCCAGCTGACACAGCCAGGAAGAGCCCCCGGCAGCTCCCCACCCACAATGGCGCCAGGGCTCTCCTCCTTGCACTCCTGTACCTCAGGCACCCTATGTGCTGGAACCGAGAGCCTCTTCCGCCCCCCACACAAACACCGGAAGCTCCCGAGAGACGTGCCCTGCCCAGTCACCCAGATGCCAGATGACAGAGCCACCATGCTGGCATCTGACCGCCCCCTCAGGCCCTGCGCCCTGCGTGAGCTGCCCCCCACCCAAGTCCCCGTCCCTCTGGCGGCCCCTTCCCCAAGGCACTCACCCTGGGCAGCTCACACAGCCCCAGGTGGAGGGAGTGGCGCAACCAGTGCGTGTAGTCCGTGTCCGTCTCCACCTCTCCCCGAGGCTCCGTGGGCCACAGGAAAGCGGGAGGAAGTGCTCGAGCGTGGCCTCCACTCGGACTCTGTCTGGTTGGTGTGGCCGGCATCTCTGGAATGAGGGGACACACGGGGCAGGGCTGTGAGGGGGTGTCCATGCCAGCCCTGGGGGACCTCCGCAGGCAGAGTCAGGACCCCAGCATGGAGCCCTTGTCACAGCGGCTGCCAGGGCTCTGGGGCAGGATGGCACTGTGGACACCGAGGGGCAGGGCCCAGTGTCTCAGAGCAGGAGGTGGTGCAGGAGGGAGGGCCTGCAGGGCAGCCGACCTCATTTCCACAGGGCCGGTTCCTGCCTGGCTCTGCAGAACACGCCTCGCTGCAAGCAAGAGCCCCCAGATGGGTGACCCCATGTCCCAGTGCCTGAGCTCCCACGCCCCACCTCCAAGTCCTTGTTCTCCACTCCCGGTGCTAGTCTGAGGGGCTCTGGTGTGCTGTGCACCTGCCTTATCCCCCAGAGTCCTCACTACAGTCCACTCGGAAAGGGCTGTACTCGCTTCATAGATAAGAAAACAGGCTCAGCACAGAAACGAGGGCCGGGGTCCCGCAGTGCAGCTAGCAGTAAGCCCTGGGGCCCCTGAGCCGGCGCTGTGGGCAGCAGTGGCGCCTGTGGTCACTGCCAGCCCGGCGTCTTGGCTCACCTTGGATGTCGTGTTCTGCTGCACCCAGAGTCGGCCCCAGCTCAGATCCAGCTGCTTGCTGAACACAGTGTGTGAAGGTCCCGCAGGCCCGGAGGGGGCCCAGGCCCCAGGGTCCTCGGAGCTGGCAGGGAGAAGATGGGGTGTGAGTGGGACCCTCGCAGAGGCCGGGAGCTGGGCAGCCCGGGTGTGGCCAGGCATCAGCAGGTGCGTACCTACCCCAGAGAGGCGGCCAGGCAGCCGTCAGGCCCAGCTGTGCGCCGAGCACCTGTGGGCCTAGGTGAGCTGCAGGGTCAGGGGCTGTGCTCCGTCCCAGGCCAGCTGCACCTGCATGGGGGAGGAGAAGCTCACCCCATCCCTGGAGGACCTGGGGTGGGGAACCTGCACTGCTGCTCTCTGCAAGAGCCCGGGCCCCCCAGATGGGAGAGCAGGTGCATTTGGAGAAAAACGCCGAGCTTCAGCACCACACTCAGCATTGCCAGAGACAGAGCCAGGCAAGGCCCTGCAGGTGCCTCAGGGCCCTGTGCAGTCCCTTGTCCCGCCCATCACCTGACCTCATCTCCCATCACTGCCCCTTCCTTATCTCTGGCTCGGCTGCTGTGCCTGGCTTTCCACCCGAAGGACCTTGGCACTTGCCGTCCTCCAGCTCCACATAGCTGTCCCCCCCAGTGGTCCTCCACTGATGAGCCACCTCCCCAGGGACCCTCACTGACCGCTGGCCCAGCCCATCAAAGCCTCAGTGTCCTCAGCTTGCTTTGTGGTGTTTATGGCAACTTCTGAGCAGTTCGTTTTCTCATTTGCTTGGGTTCTGCCTGTTCTCCCTGACCTGCTGTCATGCACCTCACAGATGAGAAACTGGCTCAGAGAGGCTCCGGGTGCTGCCGAGGCCACCTGCCAGGTGGGGGGCCAGTGCCCTGCTCCCCCTGCCCACCCCGAGGTGCCCATGCAGCAGGGGGCTGTGCAAAGGACGCTTGGAGATCCAGCGTCAAACGAGACCAAGCTGCAGGTGCTTGATGGAGCACTGCTGAAGGAACGGGCAAGGGCGGGACCCTTGAGGTGCCCAGCCTTGGACACCCCTGATTCTGGAGTCGCTGTCACTGAGGAATCGGTCACCCTTCCTCCCAGCCATGGCAAAGCTCCACTCACCTGCTGGCTCTGCCTGCTGTCCCTGCTCCTGGCGAGGACCCTGGCCTCAGCGTGCCACCAGAGCAGGGTGAAGGGGAGGGCAGGGCCAGGTGGGCAGCCAGCTCACCCTTCCTCAGCTGCAGAGAGGAGGAGATCGCCACCTTGGGAGGGCACAGCTGAGCCAGGGTCTGCTCCCAGTCGGCCCAGCCCGCCGCCTCTACACCAAGGTGGAGGGGAGAGAGCAGCCATCTGAGACTGGGTGGCAGGGTGCGCATGGGTACCTGGTGCAGGCGGACTGGCCCCAGGAACGTTCATGGGCCAAGGGACCCCAGGATTCTGCTTGGGCTGCAGGGTGGAGTTTAGCCTTGTCCAACCCCAGCGTCCCCTCCAATCCCACTGCCTACCTGGTCCCTGAGCCCTTCCACCTCCAGGCCAGCCCTCTGTGCCCTGCTGTGTTTCATTCAGCACAGGTGCAAAGGGCCTGGGGCTGGTGGGGCAGGGTTGGGGCAGACCTTGGTGATGTCACCTCCTACAGGTGTGTCTCCTGCACCTTTGGCAAGATGGGTGCCGCCGTCTGTGGACCTGGTATAGCCTCTTTTGAGAACAGCACCTAAGCCTGCAGTGGCAGCCTCTGTATGTCCTCCCATAGGCCTCCGCGTGCTCTGGGCTCAGCCCCCACTCCTGCTCCTGGCCCTTACCAGACTCCGGGCTGTGCGCCTGGAGCGGGCACTCCCTGGGGCTCCTCATGCAGCAGCGGACCATTGTGCCAGGAGCTGTGGAGAGGGGCAGCTCCGGGCTGAGGCTGCAGGTGACCTGGGAAGAAGGGCTGCAGCTTGCCCACCTGCTCTTGCTGTTGATTGGTCTGGTTGGTGGGGCACTCAGAGCTCATATATAAAGGGGCCCCGCCCCTCTTTGACCTGGCAGCCCATTCCACGATTATCCCCACTCTGCCCAGTACCCTCTTGTGAGGGCAGCACAGGCCAGGGGCAGCAGTCCTGGCACAGAGGCCCTGGCCCTGCCTGTGAAATGCATCCCCAGTCATGAGGAAGAAGCTGCTTTTTACCTACACCCAATCCTCATCCTACTGAGTGGTGGGAAATTATAGGTCATTCTAGAAGCTTCCTCACTTCCTTGGTGTTGTGTCATGGTCGACTGCGCTCTAGATGCTGGAGAGGCCAAAAAACAGGTTCTGCCCCAGAGCCCTGAGACACCTTGATTTGTAGCCCCATTAGACCTGTTTGGACTTCTGACCTGCAGAACTGTGTCATAAACTCGTGTTGGTGTAAACTTCGGAGTGTGTGATGATTTGTCAAAGTGGTCATAGGAGAGGAAGGAGGCTTAGTCCTGGGGCCTCGCAGGAGTGAAGGGTGACACTGCCTTTCCTGAATTTAAATGCTGCTGCCTTTCAGGACAAAGAAACTTTATAAGGGGCTCAGTCTCCCCTCAGGCAATTGGTAAAAATACGAATGCCCAGCTAGGTTCACATCTCCGTGTCTAGAGATATGGTCAAAATACAAGAAAAGCAAATCCCCAAAAAGTCCACCTGGGGGGTCTGCCTGCCCCCCTGCCACCTGCTGTCTTGCTCCTCCTTGCCTTGCTGGAGTGTGTGAGGTCCCAAGAGTCCAGGCGAAGCCAGGTTTAGCTCAAGCCTCCGCGGGGGCCAGCGCTCACCTTGGGGACACGGCCTGCTGACACCTGCCTCTAGGGGCTGCTGAGGACCGAAGGCCTGGTGCTCAGTGGGGCCCCATGAGCAGAAGTCAGAGTTCCCAGGTGTTGCTGGGCCTGATCCCTTTTAGGAACTGGTCCTGTGGCTCTGGTGGATCACTGATAAAACCCGTGGCTTGCTCCAGTGCTGGGACGTGACTGTGACACAGGGTCTGTGTCAAGCCTGAGCTTCGTAGGCCATGACTGGGCCCGTTAGCCCAGAGTCCTAGTAGGATTTCTTGCATCTGCTTCCATCGTGTGCAGCATCCTGCGGGAAGGGTGTTGGTTCGGGCAGCTCTGATAGGTGAGTTCATGTCTTGGGGACAGCGCTTAACCTCCTGCAGCCACTTGAGGACTGAGCGGGCAGGGCAGCTCCCCTGCTGCCTGGCCAAGTTACCACTGCTCTCCAATGGGGACACAAATGAGGGCTGCTGAATGAAGGAAAACCTTGAATTCATAATTCTAATGGTGACTGTCTTGTTCCCTGTATAACCAAAGGAACTGTCGAGATTTCAGCTTCGAATTAAACTTGTGTGACACTTTGGGGACTGGCAGATGTTTAACTGGCTCTGGGGACCCCCAGATACCCTTGGGGTAAGGAAGCCCTGATGGCCCTCTGATCCTTACAGCATCTTCCTGTGTGGCTCATTGCCAGCTGCCAACCTCAGAACAGGGTGGAAGGACAGTGGCCCTCAAATGTGATGACCCAGCTCTAGGGGTCGGAGAGGTAGGTAGTTTGGGAGCAAGTGTTCCTCATGTCGTGTCACTGAGTTTTGGACAGGATCCCTTATGACAATTGTCACTCTCATGGCCCCCTTCCCAGCATCCTTTCTGTGCCACATCCCCAAGCCCTTCTGCCTCCAGGCCAGCCCTCTCCCCGAGCCATCAAGGACAAAGGCATGAGTGGGATGAGTTTAACATTTATCAACAAGCGGCATTGTTCCTTAACAGGCTCCTGTTTCAGTGCAAGGTGGCAGTGTGAGAGGTGGCAAGACGATCTTGAGGTCTGGCAAAGTCTTCACCAGGAGTACGGTGGACTTGCTCTTCTGCAGTTAGCGTCTTCTGCACCTCCGGGTGTACCTGCGGCGGCAGCACCCTAAGAGCACAAAAGATTTTGAGAGGGCGTCGTGGCCCCACGGAGCCTAGCCCCAGCCCAGGCTGGACCCTCTCTTACTTTGTCTCCAACTGTGATGGCATCTCCACCTTCGTCTATGGCTGCGTCTACCGCTGCGTCTACAGTGGCATCTGCTCCAGCTTGGGCTGCAGCAGCATCTGTATCTGGCCGTGGTTCGAGGAGAACTTGGCCTGGAATTGGCTCAGAGCAGGGGCACCACCTCAGCTGAACCAGCCTACCTGTGAGGAGGTGGAACTTCGTGGGCTGTGAGGCAGGGCCGAGCCCTGGGCCTCTTATAGATGCAGGACATTGTGAGGTCGAAGTGGCCAGGACCTCACAGAGCATGGCCAGGGCCGTGCTTCCTGTCCATGTATGGGCACTCGAGGGGTGGTGCAGCCTTGGCACATGGGGGCCTCCGTGTCATAGCCAGTGTGACTCTGTATGTGAAGTATGCGTGAGGCAGGCCTGGTTGCAGTGCTGGGTTTCCTACCGGGCTCACGTGGTGGTCTGAATGTCACCAGGCAGAGCATTTTGGAGGGTGGCAGTTAAAATCTCAAAAGAGCTGCGTGTGGTGACACATGTCTGTAATCCCAGCACTCGGGAGGCTGAGGCAGAAGGAGTGCTTCAAGTTCGAGGCCAGCCTGAGCTACATAGTGAGACCCTGTCTCCAAAAAAAATTTTAATTTTGCAACTTAGAACAGAACAGCAAAATAAATAATGTGAAGAGCAGTTTCACATTTTCCTTCCTCCACACAGCAGGAGGCAGGGGAAGAGTGGGGTGAAGGGGCACTGCCTTCAGTGTTTCTCTGCAACTTCCTTGAGGACCATTTGCCTCCCGCCAGAGCTCACTGGCCCTAGGGTAGAGCAGGGTTCTGAGGAAGGAGGAGGGTGGGTCCCTGGCCAAACTCCCTGGAGAGGCAGCAGGCCGGCCTTTGGCCTTCAGCGTGGGACCCACACTTGAAGCTGGAGCCCAGCAGGGGCTGAGGGCCACACCAGCACATGGCAGGCTGCAGTCAGTGTTCCTTCCTTGGCTCATGTCTAGATCAACCTAGAATTATCCCTACCCCTACCGCACGAGGCCTCGGAGAAGCCACAGACCATGGAGATGGACTTCCACCCTGCTTGGGGAGAAGGACTTTGAGGCGCGTGGGCTGGGTTTACTCTTTCTGCTGATGCCAGGCGCCATTCCTGGTACCTGTGCAAGAGAGGTGAGCAGCCCTGCCCACCAAGAGTTCATGTTCTCATTGGGCAAGAAACTCAAATGATATTTAGAAATGTGCACAAGATTTTTTAAAATATGCATAGAACTGAGTCCTGTGCTAGGCACGATGGGGTGTGCCTGTAATTTCAGCTACTCAGGAGGCTGAGGGAGGAGGAGAACACTTTTGAGGGCAGCCTGGGGACTTAGGGAGACCTTATCTGAAAAAATAAAAAGGGCCAGGGATGTAGCTCAGTGCAAAGCTCTGGGTTCACTCCCTAGTACCCCCCCACACGACACACTGTCACACAAAAAAGTGGTTGATGTGACAAAGAATGACTGCTTTGGGGTGACTTTTGAGATGAGAGCTGGGTGGGGGTGAGCCATGGGTGCCAGCCTCACCTCTGTCTATGCATGTGTCCCTGATGGGGAGGGAGCCACTGGCCCTGCCCCATGTTGCTATGTGGGGACCATGGTTTCCAGGGTGCCCTGAACAGCCCCATCCCACCAGAGGCACAGGGGTAGAGGCCCCTATTAGGCCACCTTGACCCTCAAGTACACACTCTACTTCCATTCCCACATCACTGGCAATGTGACCGTGGTGTCTGACTCTGGCGTGTGTGACTGCTACTCCAGGAGGGGGACAGAAGGGCCAGCGGGGCCTGGTAACTCCAGGGCCAGGGAGGCCACTCTGAGGACATGCGAGCTGCCACTGATGAAGCGACCTCTTGTTGGGAGACTTAGGGGACAGCAGGTGCAGGAGAATCTTGGGACGGAGAGAAGGGAGGTGTGGCTGCAGAGGAGGACTGAGTCTCAGCAGAGGATACAGGCGTTGCCCTCAGGCCACTCGGGGCCCAAGGCTGCTCTGCGGCTTGGTAGTCTCTGCAGTGCATGTCGGGGTGCTTGCCCTGATTAACACGCTCTGGCCCCCAACCGGTATTTTATTTACCACCCCCTCCCTCCCCTGCCATGGGAAGTCCCAAAGATCGGGACCGTGTGTCACTCCCTGCGTGTTCTGTGCTAGGAACAACGAGCAGTATGTAAAGGAGCCCAAGTGTCTGCTGCACGAATGAGTACATGGCAGAGGGACGCTTCGTGTGACCTAGTGCTCTTACTGTCATTTCCCCAGTCTAAAACCCTGGGGTCATGTTCTCATTTTGAAAATGACCCCTAACCTCTCCCCATGGCTGCCCCAGCTGAGAAACACTGTGCCGCCCTCTCCCACAGGCCGAAACCCATGAGGAGTCCAGACTGTCCCCCAAGGCCTGCCCTGTGATGTCACCCCCGACCACCTTGGTCCAGGGGTGACATCATCAGACAGGCGAAGCCAGGGGTCGGGATGTGTGTTCCCTGGGCCTTCAGGAAAAGTGTGGGCACCAGTTAGCGCTCAGATGACAGGAGGACATTTTCCGGTAAGGTGGCAATGTTTTAATTTTCCCCGGCACTCCTCACAGCCCCATTTGTCCCCAGTCACTCCTGCACACTCATGTAGGAGTGACCAGCACAGTGTTTGTGTGGGAAAACTGGAAATAATTTGGGCCTTCCCTGGGGGAAGTGGCAGGTGATTGTTCCAGCCATGTCTGGTCAATGTGCGGTCTTCAGGGGACCTGCAGGGTGACAGGGACTGGGGAAAAGCCCCACTGTGCCGGTACTGAGAGTCGCCGCTGTGTAGGGTATTCTCCATGTTTGTCAGAAACTTAGAAATGTCACACGTGTGGGGTAAGTCTAGAATGTAATACATTGTCTGAACAATGGGCAAGGCCTCAGTTTCTACTTCATCTCTGTATTACCGGAAAATTTCCACTGAGTAAGAGCCAACACAGAGCTGAGTGTTGAGTGGAAAATAAGAATACCCATTACATGAGGCGGGGATTTAGCTCAGTGGTTCTGCCTCCTCCCTCGAAAGCACAAGGTCCTGAGTTCGATCCCCAGTATCAAAAAAAAAAAAAAAAAAGAATACCCATTACAGTTCCTAATGTGTTCCTTTTATACGTGTGTGTTACTGGGAATTGAACCCAGGGCCTTTGTTTTTTGTTTGAGATAGGGTCTCACTAATTTGCTAAGTTGCCCAGGCTGGGCTAGAACTTATGATCCTCCTGCCTCAGCCTTCCAGAGTTCTGAAATTACATATATATTTTTTCTTTAATAAACTTTTTCTTTAGTGAAAAGATGTAGAAGCTAGCCCAAGATTTGCTGCCTGGTATATGCCATGGTTCCATCTGTGAAGGTATTTTTATTTTTTTCTTTCTTTCTCCATTTACTTAGTTAATTTTATTTATTCATTTTTATTTATTTATTTAGAAAGTCTCACTGTGTAGCCCAGGGTGGCCTTGAACTCACAGTAATCCTCCTGTCTCACCCTCCTGGTGCTGGGATTTACAGGCGTGTGCCACCATGCCAGGCTTATTTTTTCTTCAAAAAACTTTTCTTCTGGGAGAAGAAGAGGTTAGTCCAGGAATTCCTCTGTCCCTCTCGCCGCTTTCCCCATGGCTGACATCTTACTTCACATGGCACATTTGTCACAACTAAGAGATTAGCATCAGGACATTGCTGTTCGCCAAACTCTGGGCTTTATTTAGGTTTCACCCATTTTTTCACAATGCCATTTTTTGTTCCTGGACCCAGTTCAGGGCTCCATACCCAATTTCCCTGCTGCTGTCTTAACGTTTGTCACAAGTAACCAACCAATACTGATGTGTCATTGCAGTGCACACTGTGTTCAGATTTCCTGTTTTCCCAAAGCCTTTTCTCTGTTCCCAGATCCTGTGCTTCCCAGGCTTCTCCCAGCCCCAACAGCTTCAGCAGCAGGATGAAGTCCTGTTGGGCTGTAACCCCAAGCGTGCGTTGCCCAGGTGCACGCTCCTTCCCTTGTCTCTGATAACCCTGAGGGCTCTGAGTACTGGCCGCTATCTTTTCTGTCCCTCCCTTGGGACTTGTCTGACGTTTTCTCGTGACCTGACAGGTTGAGTCTTGGGAGGTCCACGGAAGGGAAGTGATTGTTCCCACTTCCTCTCCAAGGCTCGGGCTCCAGGGTTCCTGAACTGGGTCACCTAAGAGGCAGCTGTCTCCCTGCCATTCTGCCGGGCAGAGTCACTGGGCACAAGCCCTGGTTGCAGGGTGGGCGTGAGGCTTCATCTCCGCAAGGGCAGAGCATCAGCAGCGGTTGTTGGAATCTTCTGCAAAAAGTTCCCTCTGTTTATTCACTCATTCATTCGTCCATTCGTTTGTATCAGTATGGACTTGTGGTGCTAAACACTGGATTATCACCCTGTATGGCCCGTTTTCCTGCTCACATTGTCCTAGCTCTGGCGGGGCTCTTCCCTCTCCTGTGCACTCCAGCATGGGAGTGTCAAGCCCTGTGTGCATGAAAGCAGGTGTGTAAGAACCCCTTGTGTGTGGAGGCAGGTGTGTGAGAACCCCTCCCTGTGCATGGAGGCAGGTGTGTGAGAACCCCTCCCTGTGCATGGAGGCAGGTGTGTGAGAACCCCTCAGGCACCATATCTTGCCTCTCCATGGACCTGAGAATACTTGGGGCCTCTCAAAGTCAAATATGCTGCCAAAGAAGTCACTGGTGCCCCTGAGGCAGGCAGGTGGGCCAGGACAATCTGGAGAGGACTGTGATACTCTGTCCTGTTCTGGGAGGAGGGACTCAAGGTCTGTAGCAGATCCGGGGTAGGATGCATGCCCGGTTGCCAAGAAGAATGTTTCCCACACATCCCCAGGACCCTCTGACTATGGAACCTGCTTCCTACTCCTGTCCTACTGGATTTTCAGCTTTCCATTCTTGTCTTGGCTGAGAAGCCACCTGCACCAAGAAGCTGTCCTGTAGCTCTTCAAAGTAGGTCTCCATAAATTCCTGCTGACTGATGGCTGAGTCCCCCTTTTACAGAGTTAGGGTTCCCAGCTCCCCCTCGCCAACCTCCCTCAGCCTGCTCAGACTCCTTCCCATTCCAGCCCAAATGCTGAGCCCCAGGAAGCCTTCCTGCACCTCCACACCCGCTACTCTGAGGAGCAGCTCTCTTGACCTCCACCAGCTGCCCCCAAGGCTTGCCCTTTGCGCATCCCTGAAACCTTCCTGCCTGATTCTTTCCTGTCACTATCTCTACCCCACAGAGGACCTTATTCGTTTGGGTTGGTTTTTTAAAATCAGGATGTCTGAAGGGAATAATAAGGGTATTGCAAATAAGATTTCATGAGTTTTGAGCCGGGTATTTAGCTCAGTGGTTCTGCTGCCTGCCTCAAAGCACAAGGTCCTGAAAAAAAAAAAAAAAGATTTTATGAATTTTTTTTAAAGGAACCATTTCTGCTTCACAGTTCAGGAGTGGCAGGTTCAGGTGTGTGTGTGTGTGTGTGTGTGTGTGTGTGCGCACGCGCGCGCGGGTGTGTGTATCTGTCTGTGCCTAT